TCTGAGTTGCCAGTGCCGGTATCTGCGTCGCAGCTGCGTTTGATGCAGTTTGATGCTGCTGTGATGCAAGTCGGCTTCTCTATATCACCTCGGTCCCCTTGTGAGTGACACTAGACAGATTCGCTTTGCGTAAATATCAGGGTCACCGCGGATATACGAGTGGACGTTATACTACTATTAAGTCTATCAGCAGCAATAATACATCGTCCAGTTTCGCAAACCATGTCAAGGGCCAGACGAACCCCGATACTCCCCCCCTCTCCCTCCCGTAACGGTCCGTTAGTCAATCGTCAGTACTGACAAGGTATCGATAGTACATATAATTAGTGACTTGGTCTCTCTTCCAAAGGTCGTTCAACACCGACAAGGGGTCCCCCGTTGGTATGACACGAAACTCTTAGTGGAGACCAGGCAACGTTGGTGATGGATGATGACAACCCCCCGGCACCCCTGGTCTTTGGTGTCCCGACAACGACGGGGGGGTAACCGGTGATGCTACACTGCAGAGCTGGTGCAGGTAGCATGGCCAAGAGTGCAGAGCCTATTCCAAAGCCTTCTCTTCAATATGAGCGGGGTAGATGTTCATTTCAGGGGGGGGGTGATGGTGATGTTTGGTGGATCAGAGAAGAGAGCGGCATTTTCTCTTTCCCAAGTTAGCTACTGTAGGTGCTCACGGTAACAATAGCACTGCAAGCAGTACTCGTCTGTCTTCTCTTTCTCCGTGCAGGTACGAGGTCAATCCTAGGAGCCCTAGACAATAAAGAGCAAGGTAGAGGGTGTAACGTGCAAGGAATAGATGAGAAGAGGAGTCAGTATCAGTACAATACGAGTAGATGGACCGTCGCAACAGAGGAAATTGAACGATGACGGCGTACGAGTTATGAAAAATGACCGAAAAAAATAAAAGACGACGGCAGTAAAATGACCATCGACATACGGGTAGGAGATGTCGGAAGATTCAGCCGTCTAATATAGCATCGCATGTCTTGATATAGACATCTCCGTATGCCTTTCAGGTAGGCAATTTTAACCACCACTACTAGTATGTACCAAGATACCGCAATGGCATGTCCATATAGAGTAGTGATGCGCACGGGATTCTACTCTCGGTCTTGGCCATCAAATGTACGGCACTCCGATGGTTGAACGGTAGGCAGTGGACCGGAGCTTGGGCTGCACGGGTTGCCGGCGGAGTAGGTAGTACTCGTAAAGCCGAGATGGGTAAACAGAGGACAAAAACAGGAACGAAAACAACGTGCTTCCTCTCGCGTCGACTGGGAAGAAACGACGAGATATGACGTGACTGGAGGGTATATGTGCGCGTTCAGTAACCGACCGCACTCCCACGTCTCGCTCACCATACTGGTACGTGCTATCGGAATTGTTTCATATCGTCTCTCGGCAGGAGATTATCACTGGCCCATCTACAGGCTACATCAGCCTATGACTCTTGCTTTCCTACCTCTGCCTGCCCCTCTGCTGGGGCGGCCGCGGCCTCCTCCTTCTCGTCCGCGCTCCTGGTGCCATCCACCACCCTCAGACTCTCGGCCTGCTGTGCCACCTCGTCCAACTCCTTTTTGCGTTGCAGCCGCACCTTGACCTCGGCCACCATGTCCTTCTGGTCCACCAGGATGCCCTCCTTCTCCGGGTGTCCGTCGCTCAGACCCATCTCCTTGATCTTGACCTTGCCCTGCGCCACCTCGTCCTCGCCTAGGAAGATGGCGAATGGGACGCCGTTGGTGTCGGCTGCCTTGAACTGCGCCGGCACCCTCGGCTTGACCTTGTATAGGAACTCGGCCTGTTTTGTCGCGCATGTGTCAGTCGCATCATTCTAAGCCGTTGTTCGGATGAAGATGGGGGGTGGGAGGTATATCCTACCTTGATGCCGGCCTCCCAGAGCTGAGAGCACACGGACATGCGCTCCTTCAGGAAGCCATTGCCTCCAAACGCCATGACGTAAACGTCCACTTCGTTGTTGCGGACCTTGGCCACGCTCTTGTCCGCTGCCATCCTGGCCTTGGTGATGGAGAAGATGCGATCCACTCCAAACGAGATGCCCACACAGGGTATCTGCGTCTTGCCCGAGAACATGCCTACCAGGTTGTCGTAGCGACCGCCGGCGGCAACACTGCCAACACCCACCGAGGGGTCGTTGGAGCGGTCGTCGTCCTCGCTCTTGGCCTTCTTCTTAGAAGCCTTGGCCGCCGGCGCATCGCCCTCAGCGGCCACGACCTGTCCGGCGGAGCCCTCTGTCACGACCTCGTAGATGATACCCGTGTAGTAGTCCAGGCCGCGGGCCAAGCTGAGGTCGAACGAGACTCTCTCCAGGGCACCGAAGGCTTCGAGATATTCAAACAGCAGCTCCAGGTCCGAGATGCCCTGCTTCATCTTCTCGTTGGCCGTGAGCTTCTCGTCGGCGCGCAACTTCTGCAGGAGCTCGTGCTTGCCCTTGAGGACGACCCACTCGCCTATGCGGTCGGCAATCTCGCCGGCCAGGCCCTTCTCCTCCGTCATCTCTTTGCGGACCTCGGCCCAGGGCAGCTTGTCAAGCTTGTCGACGGCCGACGAGATGGTGCGAATCTTGTCCTCGGGGACGCCGCACACTTGGAAGATGCCGTCGAGGATCTTGCGGTGGTTGAGCTTGATGGTGTAGGACCCGTTCCAGCCGAGCCCCTCAAACACCTCGCAGATGATACGGATGACCTCGGCGTCGGGAAGCATGGGGTCGTACACACCGGCGACATCGAAGTCGCACTGGTAGAACTCGCGCATGCGGCCCTTGGTCATGGCCGGCTGGTCACGGCGGTAGACCTTGGCAATGTGGTAGCGCTTGATGTTCTGGATGTCCTTGTTCATAGCGAGAAAGCGGGCGAAGGGAACCGTCAGGTCGTATCGCAGCGAGGTTAACTCTCCTCCCTGGTCGGCCAGGTCGTAGATGAGCTTGCTGTCCTCGCCATATTTGCCCGAAAGGATCTCCTTGAGCTCGAAGACGGGGGTATCGATGGTGACGCCGCCGTGGCGCTTGAAGACGTCGGTGATTGTGCTAAAGATCTTGTCGCGGACGACCATGTCCTTTCCCTCCCCTTTGGATTAGACAACAGCAGCGTTAGCCTTTCACGTCATGCGCGTACGGACAGGGGCAAGCTGGGGGTAGCCGTAAGAGGTGGGGGTGGGGGGGGGGTCAACTCACAGTCCTTGGTACCCTTGGGGGTCTTGAGCTCAAATTTGGACTTGGGCGCCATGGTGTCGAGCTTAGCAGCGGCGCTGGTTGACTTGCTACGTGCTGAGCAGTGTGGATAGTGGTGATGGTGGCGATGGTGGTTGGGAGGGCCGAATATCAAGGACTTCGCGATCGAAGGTGGCGTTGGACTCGTTCGAGGAGGGGCAGTGACTCCAGGCAAGGTCCTGGCTGACCTGCAGAGTCTGCCCACAAGCGGCTTCATCCACACAATGAGGGGAAAATCAAACTGGCGGGGGGTTTTTTTCCAGGTTTTTATTTTTATTTTTTTTTTGGGTGTGGTCCTCTGGTTGAGTTGCACAGGTGGATAATAGCTGTAGGTGACAATGAGTCAATAGTTAGGCGCCTTTAGGCCTTTTTTCCCCCCCTGTTTTAGGCCTTGCGCCTTAGGCGTCCGCTGCTCCTGCCACCAATGGTCACTCATTCGCACCTGCCCACGGTTGTTGACCAAGAAAAAAAGGAGGGAGGGGCAACCAGAGAGAGCCCCGCCAATCGTCCTCTATTTCCGTCTCTCAATCATCATCTGCTGTGCACTGCTTGCGATGATTCGCATCTTCAACATGCATCATCAGAACCGTTCATTGATATGTACGTGTACTGCATACCGCTACTGGCTCATCAACACAACCAGATGAAGACACCGTTACTGACTCTGCCTGATTAGGTGGACCTCTGCAGATTCTCACGACGCCATGGTAGTAGTAGCCTGGCGCAGCAGATAACCTACACTACTGTCGACTTATGCTTGTACGAGTACTTGACTTACCATAAGCAACAACCCAGCTCAATCGAAAAAAAAAAAAAAAAAAAAAAAAAAAAAAAAAAAAAAAAAGGCAAGAAACGGTCGAGGAGTCTTTTCATATATCGGTTGGTCGATCGGTTCATCGCTCCCTCATTTAATTTCACAGGTATGAGGTGTCAATCAATCGGATCGGCAGGTCGTATTCATAAATCGTAACCACGCCCTCGGATTCTGCAAGCTTGGCAAAGATTCAATTATATCGGAGTCTATTTTTCAACATATTTGCTTCTGGTATTATAAAGGTCGACAAATAATCGGGTGACAGTACTAATGGTAAGAGTCTAGAAACACGGAAAGCTACTCGCACCCTACACGCATCTTGTAGGATTGAGCGTATGCATCATCCGGGTTCTTGTACTGCACTGCGCGTTCGCATAGAAAATGTTCGGTTTACCGTTGCGGCTCAAAGCTGGTGTCTGGCATGATTGATGCCCTTACGCTGCAGGGGCAGCCTATGACGCATTCCTGACCACAGTCTGCATTCACAACGCTTCTCCCCGAAGCAGTGATATATGAAACCGAGTCTCCATGCCTGCCACTCCCTATAGGGAGAGTTTGATGGCGCCACGGGGCCACGGGCCCGCAGGTCCCCGTGCTCCCGGGCTGCGGAGCGGATCTGTACCTTTGTGGCTTATTGCCGTGGTGCCCACTCGTCCGGTTGGTCCTGTCACTGTCAGGTCGGGAGGGCGATGTGAGATACGAAGACGGGATGACGGATATGCCGGTCGGAGATGGGCTCCACGGCACGGTCAGAGTTGGGTGGCGATTTGGCCTGACCATTACACGATAGATGCTCCTGATTTCCAAGGTCGTCAGTGCCTCGGGCCCTCCCAATACAGCAGAGTTCTGCGTCCCGATTGAATCTCATAATTGCAACACTCTACATGCTGTCTAGTCAATACTGTACAGACTACGAGTACGACTCTGGAGCAAGCAGTTCGAGAACAAGCGAGACCCACCTCGGACATGTCTACACATGTACAGAATGCGAGAAAAGTTATCAAAGGTAAGTACTAGTATTGAGGCAAGTCACCACATCTCACGGCGCGGAGAAAATGAGATCCTGAGATGCCGACAGGCGACGAGCCTCGGTGATACGACTCTGTGAGTGGTGCTACCGCGCACATTGTACACCTTTATGAGTACCACCACTACTTGCCACATCGTGCATCGAACATCGTGTCATGTCTCTCCTTTCGACTCTCGAGATAAGGGCCTCGGTGGGAAACTAACGAGGCGGCTAGTACCATCATGTTGAAAGCTGGCACTGTCAATGGATCATTGCCAAATGCCAATCACTGCTACTATGCCCGAACTTTGGAGGAGATATCATCAAGGAGTACGAAGTACTACTACCTTCCAGTGACTGCTACCAATATCGGGGGGATAATGCTACTTGGTAGCCGCAATCAAACGAAGGCGAGAAAGCGACCAGTTGCCAATACTCTACTACTACTACTAAGTGTCAACTCGATGCCACCATCTGAGAATTGCACTCGGGAGGCTAAGATTACTCATTGACCGAAGCTCGGCAACATCAGTATTGCAGATTATGGATTATTGTTTAACTACTTCTAGGCTGTTGCTTGCTTACCACCCTTCTTCTTACCCCTCCTCATTTCGTCTAAATAACCTGCTTTCCCGCCTCTCGGGTCTATGGCCACGATACCATCACATACCTGCCAACTTCTCGCCTCTGAGCAGGGTTCAGCCGGGATACTCATTGACACTCTACCAACAATCCTCCAGGAGCGGCAGACAATTGTGTGTGTCTGTCGATGGCCAAGGGGTTCATTGATACCAGAGGGCGATCTCGAGTGATAGCGAGCATCCATCCCTTCATTGAACCGCAGATCCTACACATTTCCTCTCGTATTGCCGCATCAAGTCTCAACTTGTTACCGGCCGCCACAGTATGCACGGGTAGCGCACTCATCGCGACCGCTTCGCGCCTGATGCGCCCGACTCGTCTGTTCCTTTCCTTTTTGTTCTTTCACCCTCAAACCTTCTCGGTGACCAACGAACCATGGCCGATATCCCGGTGGACGGCCGGACGCCTGCATCAAAAGATAGGACAGTAGCCATGGAGGCGGGCTCTGCCATCGGCGATGGAGAAGAGGGGGAAAAGAAGAATGCACGCCCTGAACGGACTGCCGACTTCCAGGACTACCTGGTACGTCCATCCGTGCTTCCACCCGACATCTCAACACGTCACTGACCTTGACACACAGCGCGTCTTCAGTTATGCCAATGCCTGGGATTTTGCTGCCTATGGTGCTGGCGTTGCTGCCTCTATCGGATCTGGTGTCACCGTCCCCCTGATGAACGTCGTCTTCGGTATGCATCTTCCCCCCAAACCCGGCAGTACTATCTCTGCATTGCGTCTAAGAATCCGAGTGTTCCAGGCCAGTTTGTCAGTAAGATGTCAGATTTTAACTCTGGATCTGTCGATTCGGGGTCATCCCTCAGGGGCACCTTTGACCGGCTCTCGTAAGAGATGCTCTCCTCCTCCCTCAGATCTCCTGTTACGCATACATATGCATGGCCATCTAACCCACAAGTTCGCTTTAGCCTGTACATTTTCATCCTATTCCTCGCTCGCTGGCTGCTAGGCACAATAAACAAGGTACCGTCGTCACTATGGAACTTCCTCTCTCACCCTTGTGCGCAGCTTCGATTGACCCCGAAATCTCAAGTTCGCCTTCCGCATGATCGGCATCCGCATCTCATCAGCTATCCGTCTTCATTACCTGCAGCGCCTCTTTGGGCAGAGCATCCACGTCCTCGACTCTATGCCCCCCGGCTACGCTGTGAGCACCATCACGACCACAAGCAACACCCTTCAGCTCGGTATATCCGAGAAACTCGGCACCTTCATCGAGTACACGTCTCTCATCATTGCTGGCTTCATCGTCGCCTTTGCCCGCAGCTGGGAGCTCACCCTGGTCACCTTCTCCGGAACCGTGTTTATGCTCTTGGTCGTGAGCTTACTTCTCCCCGTCATCATCAAAGGCCACTCGCGTGTGACAGAGGTTAGCGCCTCCACTCTGAATCTTGCGCGATGCGGTTCTAACATGAGACCACAGGCGGATGGTCGTGCTGGTGCCATCGCTAGCGAAGCCCTGGCTAGCATTCGCATGATTATGGCGTGCGGTGCCGAGGCCCGCACTTCGAAAAGGTACTCCGCGTTTGTTGCAGAGTCTAAAAAGCACAGCCTGTTCACCTCGCCATTCATGGCTACCCAGTTCAGCCTGGTGGTAGGTTCATATCTGCCAAGTGGTGGTCACCACGGGAAGGCGGTAGCTCTAACAGTTTTCTCTCAGTTCTTCGGAGCATTTGCCTCGTTCGGCCTGGCGTTCTGGTACGGAACCAGGGCGTACACGCGCGGCAGGCTCGACAACGTTGGCGATATTGTCGTGTAAGAGATGGACCATGCCCAGACTACAAAGGAGGATCAGCTGACAAGACCGCAGTGTTCTGATATCCATCATGATGATCGTCTTCTCTCTTGAACGTGTTTCGACCCCGTTGCTTGCAGTGAGCAAGGCGACCGTGGCCGCATGCGAATTCTTCACCGTCATTGATGCGCCCCAGCCCAACCAGGGCCACCTGAGGGAACCCGAAGTATCAGCTACCGATGACATCGTTCTCAGCAACGTCACTTTTGCCTACCCGAGTCGACCGCACCTCAAGATTCTCGACAACCTGGACCTCCACATCGAAGCCGGCAAGATCACCGCTATCGTCGGCTCCTCCGGCTCTGGAAAGAGCACCGTCGTAGGCCTCATCGAGAGGTGGTATACCCTCAGGAACCAGTACACCATTGCCAAGACCACCGAGAAGGGCAAAACGAAGTCCGATAAGAAAGATGATTTCGACGACGAAGTCGAGCCTGTCAATCTCCATGAGGACGAAGACAACGGTCCCGCCGTCGAGCTCAGCGGGTCCATTCAGATCTCTGGCCGCAACCTGGATGCGATTGATCTCAAGTGGTGGAGGTCCAAGATTGGCCTGGTCCAGCAGGAGCCGTTCCTGTTCAACGAAAGCATCTACAGCAACGTTTCCAAGGGACTGGTCGGCTCGGAATGGGAGAACGAGCCCGAGGAACGCAAGCGGGAGCTCGTCAAGGAGGCCTGTATTGAGGCCTTTGCCGACGAGTTTATCGACAGACTCTCCGATGTGAGGCGGCCCAAAATATTAGCCCTCCTGATCGTCCGATATTCTAACCTACCGGTATGATTCAGAAATATGACACCATGGTAGGCGACGGTGGCGCCAAGTTGTCTGGTGGTCAGCGCCAGCGGATTGCCATTGCCCGATCGATCGTTCGCAAGCCGCAGATACTCATCCTCGACGAGGCAACGAGCGCCATTGACGTCCGCGGAGAGCGCGTCGTGCAGGCAGCCCTGGACCGGGCCGCTAAGGGCCGGACCACCATCACGATTGCTCACCGTCTATCGACTATCAAGAAGGCCGACCGCATCGTAGTGATGAAGAAGGGGAAGCTGGCGGAGAGCGGCGATCACGAAAGCCTCGTGGCCGCGCAGGGCATATACTACGGTCTCGTACAGGCGCAGAACCTGTCTATGGGAGACGAGGCAGAGGCCGACGAAAAGACAGCACCCGAGACGACGGACGATGACTCCTCTCTGACAAGGGAGAAGACGCACAACGCACTTTCCGAGGCGGCAGACGAGCAACAAGAGGACAAGACATCCCCGGACAAGAACCGCAGCCTATTCCGGAGCTTCGGACGCTTCTTCTACGAATCCCGTGACATCTGGCTACTCAGCGGGCTGGCCATTCTCGCCTCAGCGGGTGCCGGTGCGGCCAACCCGCTGCAGGCGTGGCTCCTCGCGCAGTCCATCAACGCGTTCCAGCATCGGGCCGCCCCGAACAAGCTGATGGACGAGGGCGAATTCTGGGCACTCATGTGGACCATGCTCGCTATCGGCGTCGGAGTGGCCTATTTCTTCACCTTCCTCACGTCGCTGCGGCTGTCGGGCATCACGCGAGCCAAGTATCAGCAGGAGTACTTCGACTCCATCCTGTTTCAGAAGGCGGCCTACTTCGACGATGAGGACCACTCGCACGGCACCGTGACGGCGCGGCTGGCGGGTGACCCAAAACAGCTGGAGGAACTGATGGGCGCCAACATGGCCATGGTGTACATCGCCATGTTCAATATTGCCGGGTCCATCGCCATCGCGCTAAGCTTCACGTGGAAGCTGGCGCTCGTGTCCATCTGCGTGGTGCTGCCCGCCACCATGTTGGCGTCCTTCTTCCGCTTCCGCTACGAGCTGCAGTTTGAGCAGATGAACAGCCAGGTGTTCGCCGAGAGCTCCCGGTTCGCCTCCGAGTCCATCGGTGCGATGCGCACCGTCACAGCCCTGACGTTGGAGACATCAATCACCGAGCGCTTCGACGCGCTGTGCCGCGGCCACGTGGCGCATGCCTACCGCAAGGCGCGGTGGGTCAGCATCCTGTTCGGCTTTGCCGACAGCACCACGATGGCCTGCCAGTCGCTCATTTTCTATTACGGCAGTCGTCTCCTCCTGCATGGCGAGATCACGCTCGTCGACTTCTTCGTGTGCCTCATGGCCATCATGAACGCGGGACAGTCTGCCGGGCAGGGGCTGAGCTTCGGGCCTAACGCGGCGCAGGTGACGGCGGCGGCGAACCGGATCCTCAACGCACGCGAGTCGCGGCTCTCGGACGCCATGACGGACAGGCACGCCATCGAGGACGCGTCGGGCGGGATGAAGATTGAGCTGCGCAACGTGCGCTTCAGGTACCCGGCGCGCGGGACTCCCGTCTTCGACGGGCTCAGCCTGACTATCGAGAGGGGCCAGTTCGCGGCGCTGGTGGGCGCCTCGGGCTGCGGCAAGACGAGCACCGTGTCCCTTCTGGAGCGCTTCTACGACGTCGACGGGGGCCAGATCCTCGCCGACGGCCGGGACATCTCGGAGCTCAACGTCCACGCGTACCGGAAGCACCTCGCCCTCGTGGCTCAGGAGGCCACGCTCTTCCAGGGCACCCTGCGCGACAACATCCTCCTCGGCGTCGACCCGGAGGCAGTGACGGACGACCAGCTGCATGACGCCTGCCGCGACGCCTCGATCCACGATTTCATCGTCTCGCTTCCCGAGGGCTACAGCACCAACATCGGCTCCAGGGGCGTCTCCCTGTCGGGCGGGCAGAAGCAGCGCATCGCCATCGCCCGCGCCCTCATACGCCGGCCCAACGTCATGCTCCTCGATGAGGCCACCAGCTCCCTCGACTCGGAGAGCGAGAGGCTCGTCCAGTCGGCCTTTGAGAGAGCCAGCCACGGCCGCACCATGATTGTCGTAGCCCACCGCCTGGCCACGGTGCAGAATGCCGACGTCATCTTCGTCCTTGGTGACGGGAAACTTCTAGAGAAGGGGAACCACGCTGAGCTTCTCAGGAAGAGGGGTATCTACCACCAAATGGTTCGTCTTTTATTTTATTTTTTTAAAAAAAAAAAATTTGCCTTCCGTTTTCTTCCCCTTCTCCCTTCCTTTCTTTTCTTCTCCGAATATATTTCTGCCCTTCCTTCTTCTTTTCATATATAACCGTCCGCTAACAATCTCGACAGTGTCAGAGCCAAGCTCTTGACCGGTAGTATAGTTCCTCTCTCATCCTGTATGTGTATTTTGTGGCATTTTCAATATGTTTTAATAACATGAAAAAAAAAATTTGGGGGGGGGGGGGATAAAGGGAAGAATCTTCAAAAAGTGTATATTAGGACTTTGAGATACTATTTTCTCCTTTAGTTATATTCAGAGAATAACCTCTACTCATTAGGCCAAGAGGTGACGTATATAGCCTTTTCTACGCATATTTTTTCAAGTATAACGGTGGTAACTAGGCGTTTATAAAGGTAGAAGAGGCAAGGGAAAGCATTCAACTACGTACATCAAAGTCGAGCGAAACGAAAAGGACAATGAAGAAGAAGAAGAAGCAACGAAAAAAGAGGAATCCACATCTCAGCCCCAAAACTCATCCAAAGTCTCGAGAATCTTCTCCGGATACGTCATGACAAAGTCATGACCACCAGGAAGACGAGTCCAAAACACATTATCCCTACCCCCCAGAAGCGGCAGCCCTACCTCCTCATAGTACCCCGGGACGATGATCTCGTCATCGCTGGCGAGCAGCACGGCCGTGGACCCAGCGGGACGGCTGGCAGCGAGCCGCGACCAGGCCTCGTGCTCGTTGCAGAGCGGCCCGTGACGGACAGAAGACGTGAAGGCGCTCAGGAAGCCGAGGTGGTTCCGCGCCATCCAAGAGACGTACCTCAGCACGCGAACCTGGAGGGGCGTGACGTCCTGTCCGGGCAGGGGGTCGGCAGCCTCGGCGGTGAGGGCAGCATCATCGCCTTTTCCCTCCCTCTCTCTGCCTCCGTCTGCGGCAGCGGCGGCTGCTCGCCTGGCACGCGCCGTGGATGACGACGACGACGACGACGACGACGAAGAAGAAGAAGCCATGGGTCGCCGCAGGCGTCTCCTAAGGATGGCAGACACGACAGAGTCGGGGACGTAACCGGACGTGACGACGAACCTGAATCCGGCACCGAAGCTGCTCGGGTCAATCAGACCGGCCGGGGCGAGCAGGACGAGGGACCGGACCAGGTCCGGCAGCGCGGCGGCGAGCTGCACCGCTATGGCGCCGCCGAGGGAGTACCCCACCACGCGGAGGTGGGCGTCCCGGCCAGTCCAGGACAGCGGGGACGAGGCTAGCGCCAGGAGGACCTGCGATACGTACAGCCTTGCATCGTGGGGGAGGTCGCCTACTCCGTCCGAGAAGCCTCGACCCCATAGATCCTGAGAGGTTGAAGTGTTTAGCATCGGTAAATTTCGTCGTAGTAACGAGAGAAGGTAGAAATAGAGATGGGATAAAAAGAAGGAAAAGTCGACAGAAAAGGAGATGATGAGAAGAAGAGAAAGAAAGGAAAAAGGAAAAGAGAAGGAGTGGCGAAAAAAAGAGAGAAAGAGAGAAGAAGAGAGCCTACAAACAACATGACGCGACATCCCCTGTCGACGAGACCGTGGGCAACACGTCCCAGAGTCACGCATGATGTGCTAATCCCGTGGATCATGATGACCTTCTGCCCTTGTTCCGGTCCGAATTCATACACCCTCATAGAGCCATACTGATCACGTTAGAGAAAGAGAGACGAGGATAGAGAGACGAGGATAGAGAGACGAGGATAGAGAGACGAGGATAGAGAGACGAGGATAAAGGGAGAGGGGAGAGGGAGAGGGAGGGAGGAAGAAAAGAATATACCGGAGTGACGACATCTCTCGCCCCGGGAAACTGGTCGGGACGATACGTCAGACCGGCCTCCCCCCCGACCAGCACATCGGATGCCACCGTCGTCAGGGGCCCGGGTATGGTCCGCGTCTTCTGGCCCCTTGGGCGGAAGAGGACGGCTCTTCCTGCCAGGACGGTTGCTGCTATGGCAGTGGCCGTCACCACGGTTGCTGCCGTCGTCGTCGGACACGATGATAATAACGATGACGGTGACGGTGACGATGGCCCTGACCACCATGATGATGTTGACGACGCCATGGCTGTCGGCTGTGGCTGGTGCTGGTCTGGTTCTGCTGTCGTATGTCTGTTTCTTGAGAGCTACCACGCACAGAGTGGTGTGTAGTAGGGGGGGAGGAGGGGATATCGCCAGAGTCGATTTTTTTGAAAGAATAAAAAATAAAAAATAAAAAGAACAGAAGAAGATGAGGTGAAAAATAAAACAAGATATAAAATGATATAAAGAAATGATATATAAAAAATGATATAAAAAATGATATATAAAAATAAGGTACACAGCAAATATACAAGGTTGTCAAGTATCAAAGCTGAATCATCCGACTCGACCAGAGAGAGGGAAAACGTGACGGGCAGAGAGCTAGAATACCAGAAGGGCAGACAGGAGTGTAGAAGCCCGATTCCTCCTCCCACCGGGGGGATTCGTATCCCACTTCCCCGTTGCCCGAGAGCCCGCGTGCTTGGAAAAAACACACGCTGCTCAACACGGTACTATGACTACAATGAAAGGAAGCATTGGAATTGCAATTACAATGCTTCCTTTTATTGTAGACACCATCAACCTCCTAGGATACTGCCCCTTCGTCTTTCTCTAGAATCAAGGCTCTCAAGATCAACAAGACCACGCTCGTCCTTTCTCTTCATCAAAACACATCATCCAACATATGCAACAACGCGATGCACCAGACAGCGCCGTCATCATCACGATCACCATATATCATGTATGCTAGTCTAACTACTTCGGCCGTTAAAGAAATCCTATAGGGGGTATATAGTCGCCATCATAATGTCAATGACAACAACGATGGCATAATTAAAGAGGAGGATTTTTTATATAAAAAAAAACTTTTTTTTTTTGGAAAGAAGAGGAACATTCCCCTCTTTGATGGGGGTGGTTCATGGGGCTCGAGCCTGCACAGCACCCGTCACAACGGCCGCCTCACTCAGCTGTCTCAGCAGCGTGCACAGGTTGACCGCCATGGGCGGTACGCTGTCGGTCCCGTCCTTGAAGTTGCCCACGATGATGTCTCGTGCCACATCTATACACGCCTGCGCGTCTCCGGCCCACACCTCCATCACCGTGTCCCTGACGGCCGGACCTCGAAGCATGGGTCTTCCCTGTCCAAATGAGACAAACTTCTGCGTCGCTGCCGTGTCGGGCCCGTCAAGGTACACCTTGGCCGAATGTTGCTGCTGCTGCTGCTGCTGCTGCTGCTGCTGCCGTCTAGGCAGTGTCCCGCCGCCGCCATCAAGGCAGCCAGCAGCTGATGCGCTGACGACGCCGTACGTCCAGAGCACCAGTCCCGCGTGCTCTACCGCCACGGCGTCAAAGTCCCGCAGCTGTCCGGGGGCAGAGGCCTTGGCGTACCGGAACACCTGGCCCGCACACCAGATGGCCGTGCGGGCCTCCGAGCTCAGCGCCCACTGCTGCAGGACCGGGTACGTTTGGCGCGCCTGCTCTACCCCCTCCTTTCCCGCAAACAGCTGCACATCGTCCAGCGACACGTGGAGGTGCATGTTGAGCGTGTGCAGCAGTACATGCTCTTGCGTTGCCATCTCTGGCCACTCCTCCGTCATTAAGGAGAAGTTTTGGAGATCCCGAACCAGCTCCTGGTGCCGCGACCCGAGGAGGAGGTTCTGGCTGGCCCCCATGCTAGCCCTGGATGAGCGTGGTCGGTGTACGGCACTGAGCTTTCGGTACTCGAGGACCAGGGCCCAGAAGCCGTGCAGGTAGACGGACACGGAAAACTGCATGTCGACCCCCATACCGCTCCCGGAAAGCAGGTGGATCTCGTGAAAGACGTCGGCCAGCGATGGTTGGGTCGTCTCATCCTGCTCGGCCATCCTTAGCAGATACTCGGCCTTCCATTCCGATGCGTTCCTGGCGAGCCACAGCTCCCTCGACTCCGGCAGAGGGAGCATCAGCTCAGCGTACGACATGAATGGGTTCGTCATGGTCACCATGGAGCACCGTGCATCGTGAAGAAAGCAGTGGAAGACGAGCCTGGAGAGATGATACGTCGTCAGCCGTCTTCTCCCCCCCAACCCCCCGACCCCTCGCCCCTTTTCCTTCCCTTCGGATTGTCTTGTGCGCTTAGCCGAGCTGCATCAGGTACTTACCGCTTCCATTGCTCACGGCCGATCCACACCCTCCATTTTCGTTCCAGTTCGGGACCCTCGTCGGCAGGATCCACCTCCATGGTTGGGTATGAGCTGCGTTGAAACTTGGTCCGATTTCTCATCAACTGTGACGCAGTATCAGCACTGCAGAGGGCGAAGAAAGGCTTCTGGGCGTTGGGGTCAGTCCCTACCGTCACGGGGATAGGAAGGTGGCTCTGTGCAAGCTCCACACGACCACGATTGCCGCTCCAGAGGCCCATCTCCTGGACGAGAACAAATGCCTGGACCAAGGCCACATCTGGCATTGCCACCGAGCCGCCTGCAGACTGTTGTTTTCTTCCTGTCAGCTTATCCTTCGGATGCCATCGTGTCGGCTGGCCGCGAGCGGCATTGGCGTCGGCATACCTGGGTGGGCAGTGCTCCTCCTAGACATCATGTCAGCACACACTCTGAAACCTTCTCCCGTCCTAGCACGGGTGCATTCTTTGGCTTACGGGCTGCATCTTGGAGGATGAATCCGAACTTGCGCAGGGTCGGGATAGGAGACAGACAAGCCCCTGCTGCTGCTCCCGCCGCAAGCCATTCAGTCGGCTGGGCGTTCAACCCAAATGTAGGCAGGTGGACCCATCCCGACGCCTGGCTCGAGAGCGACGCCAGGAAATCCTGTATCAGCATGTCCATTATATCGACCGAGGGGAACGAGGCCGCCAGCCTGGCCGTGACGGCACCCCGCCTAGCCGTATTGAGCACCATGGCGAGAATGCGGTCTCGTGCGGAGCTCTCCAGCCTCTCAGACGTCACACGCTCGGTCCTGCCGTGAGAATCGGAGACGCTGTCCGAGCCTCCTGTAGTTGCCGTGGCATTCCGCGCACCCTCTTGGGACCTAGGCTCGGGGCACCGGGAGTTAGTCCACATACTGACCAAGCCTTGCCTCGCCTGGGCCCCGTCGTCTGGTTCACGGCCATACATCGATCTTGAACCCTGGACCAACCTCTGGCTGCCTTCAGCGTTCCAGTAGTCGAGCAGTGCAAAGTCGCCATCCAGTAGCTCGAGGCTGCCTTGGTCGCAGTAATCCAGCACCTTGAGACCTTGGATCGCTCCCTGGCCGACGAGATCGGCGTCGAGGTTGACAACATGGCGCAGAAAGTCTGCAAAGGGAAGTCGGTCCTGGTCCATGGCACTGGCGGCAGGCTCCAGCTCTTCGGGGAAGGGTGCGTAGTCGGATCCTATCAAATCTACCCGGTCAGCTCACGAGATCTGACGACTGTTGCCGGCTCCGAACTCGTCCCAATTCGCCGGCATCCGAGGTTGGAATTGGACCAGAAACTGCCTTGGCTGGACAAAGCTCGCAGCAGGCGAGGTTGGGGAGAAGTGGTAACTGACTGAGGTCATGGCCGGATAATTTCCGCTGGGGCGAGCAGGATGGAGCAATACTTGACGTCCTCGAATGGTAGGCATATGGGCGTTGTGGGTGGTGTTGCTGCAAGGCGGGCGGGGATGCTTGCACTGCCTCGCTCGGTAAGGAGCGGGGTTGGTTGCGGCCCAAGGATCCTGGCGAAATTGAGCGGCGTGATGCAGCCGTGGGGTCTCCTGCCGCTACGGTCAACCCCTCTCCATCGTTGGGATTGACAGATGAGTGTGCGCTGGGCATGTGCAACAGGTGCATGGCAGCGGTAGAAGGCGACTCGGTGAAGACGCAGCTGAGATTGCGAGTCCGGCAGCGCTTGCACGGCTTCTCATCGTCGCACTTGACCCTGGCACTGGCACAGGACTGGCAGGCGTGCGAGACCCGACCGGTGCCCGGGGCGGTGGTGCGGCGACGCTTCTTGGGCGAGTCATTGGCGTGGTTGGCGACGTGACGACGGAGAAGGTCCTTGCGAGCAAACGACTTCTGGCACAGGTCACAGACAAAACGGCGACCTAGCGTGTGAGTCTGCACATGCCTGACAAGATGCTCCGGGCGGGAGTAGGACCTTCCACAGTCGCGACAGGCGTACAGGTTGTGACCACGATGGCTGATCACCGGTCTGGCAGCAGCAGGCGAGTTGACGGCATTGGCGGGATAATATATAGGAGAGGCATGGCTGCTGTAGTTGCTGCTGCGGCGGTGGCCATCATTGATGAAGCCAGGGATCGCAGCAACGGTGAGCGGCGCTGAGACAGGAACAGGAACAGGGACAGGGACGGCGGATGCGGGTATTGATGCGGACGTGACGGCGGATGGTGGTATGGAAGCTGATGCGGGAGCCGGACGGACTTGGAGAATTGAACTTGTGGGGACGGATGAGGTAGCGACAGCATTACCCGCATTGGTGTTGGCGGTGTTGGTGTCGGTGGTGTTGGGGTTGGTGTTGGTGGTTGTGGTGGTGGGAGGCGGTAGCGTGACAGGCGCCGCTCCGAGCTTACGCGTATTCGTCGGCTGCCCGCGGGGGACAGGGCTAGGGGTTGGGAGCGGTTGCTGGTGGTGCGGATGATGGCGGGGATGCTGCAAACTGCTGTCGCCCATGGAATATGATGACGGGAGTGAGGAGCACGTCTGCTGACTCCCAGAATTCGGTTGAGGAGGATCCAAGATTTGCGACAGGGTTGGACCAGCCATGGTTCCGTCAGTGGCCCAATATGCTCTTCTCTCTGATCTGTCCCGCCCGTTCTCTCTCTCTCACTCACTCACTCACTCTCTCTCTCTCTCTCTCTCTCTCTCTCTCTCTCTCCTAGCTGATCTTCTTCTTCCCCTTCCCCCTCACAGTCAACGGCGACACGGTTTTTCCCGGTCCCTGTGGCGCGGAGGAATTACCGCTTTTTTCCCCTTCCCTCTCAAGCCACGACCCAAGCTATATTCACTTTTCTGCAAAAGAAGATGGCTGGACGTCGTTCATGGGCACTAAGGCGTCATCGCACAGCTAATACAGCATAGCTAGTGGAAGGGACGGAAGCAGACGGACAGCTGAAGTCAGGAAGGCAGGAACGATCCGGTCAAAGGACGAGTACCAGAAAGGCAGGTCGGGTGTAGTAAAAGGAAGGATACAGTGGGAAGGGAGGAAAGAGAAGGAATTGACAGAAAGCAGGAAAGAGCAAGTGGAGGAAGGTAAGTGTGCACGAGGCAGGTCGGGATGGGTGCGGGAGAGAAGGAACGTGTAAAATGCACGAGACCAGGTACGAATGCCAAAAGGAATACGAGTACTCCCCGTACGGACGCTGCTCAAGACCAACTGCCAGTTGCTCGTACATATAGTGTGGTACAGAGAAGTACAGACGTGTGCAATACGACGTAATAATTCCCGTGCCTCTGTATGCTGGGCAGCGGTACCAAGGTACGCGGCGAATAAAGTAATCTGCTAGATAATACTCCCGTACTCCGTTCTTATAGTATTAATAGCAATGCTGATACCTATAATAACAGCACAGTACGGAATAATACGAGTACTGCTCATACGGCCCGTCGTACGTGCTGATGCTGGTGCTGCTGCCGGTACAAGCAGGTAGTCATAGTGGTGTTCATATCAAGGACCCCCAGTACCAGGGAAGAATGAATATTTTAACCTTGTTCCCTCCACCCCCAGTGCACGTGAAGAATATAGCAACGGTTTCAGCATCACTTGACTTCTTCGGGTTTCTGCTGAGGGCCCTCTTCCCTCCAAGGCAAGAAGGCAAGCAGCTCCAAGGTGCCAAGGCCAGAGGGTGGTGGACACTCTTACCTTTTTTTTTTCTGGCTGTGGTCGTGGCCAAGGACGCCTCCGTTGCATGGTTGCGGGTGGGCTGTCGTCGTAAGCTCCCTCCTCGTCCCCCACGGGCCGTGCCAAGGGTCAAAAGAAAACTAGAGAAAGGGGAAGGGAAAAAAAAAAGTTCCCCTAAAGATCTACAGCACCACAGCACGGCTCGCACAGCGCTAAATACATGTACAATAAGTATACACCTATCCTGTTCGTTCATCATTACCATCACCATCGATCGGCAAGACAATATATCACTGACATCCATCAAAAGATGAGGGAGTAGAGAGGTTGGGCATCTTCAATTAATCTATGCCGCATCGATCTTTTTTTTTTCAACGTCGTCGCTCCTACCGTGGTCCAGCACACCAGCTGGCAACAGCTTTCCAAAGATTCGGTTATGGCCCATGGGGGTGTGATGGGAGAGAGGGGGACCACAAGAAAGGGTTGCGCGTACCATGTCTTGGCAACGACGACGTCCCCGGATGACAGGCATAATATCACACTATCACTACCGAGTGCGAGATCGACGGAGTCTTCAGGCCTCGAGCTCACCCGCACGCTTCGCCCACAAGCCACGGTCTCGAACCGAGAGACAGCCATTGTGGAGGATGGCGGCTTGGCAAGAAGGATTGGCAAGAATGATTATGAGTATCCGTACTCTGTACTCCGTACTCCAGCTCCTCCCGATCCCTAGGTAGACGGGGGAGCGGGGGGAGGAGGAGACGTATCGACCGAGTTTGGATGACAACCATCCTCGGGTACTCTGAGTGACGAATTCGATCGACGACACAGACGAAGAGAGAGAAGTCGAAAGAGGCGCGATACCTAATCTGTCGTACCTCGAGCACACGGCCTCCTCTCAACAGCAAACCCAACACACACACAGAAACACACGCACGCACGCACGACGAGACAAGCAACACGGCTTGATGGGTTGGCATTGGGATCACACAATATGCACCACCATGGGTCACCACCCCCCTCCAGAGCGGCCGATGGGTTGAGCGGGGTCAGCTCCGGAATCCCTACGGAGAGTGCTGCTGCTAGCATTATGACTATGACTGCATGTGCGCCGTCCGACTGCCAAGAAAACGCAAAAACCAGGCCAGCTCATTTTGGGCCTTTTCCCGTCACTTGCCACGCGTCCCTTGGGTCCGCCTACCAGCCGCAGATCTGTATTTTTACTGGAGTACGAATACTCGTACGGAGTATTATGGGTACGTTGTAAAAAGAAGAAAGTGAGGGCGAGAGATACCCATGATGACTGACTGCCGGAACACGCACGCGCACGCACACAAGGGGGGGGGGGGGGGCGGGCCTTGTTTGAGCCTCAAGAAACCCGAAATGTCCGACATGTCTCTCAATCAAGGGAGCGGAGGAAAAGGAGATGATTTCTTATGTGCGAAAAGATAAGGGCTGCACCGTATCGACTCTCTGCTATAGCACATCACCATCGCGGCGCGCTCACCTCTCCTCTCTCTCTGTCTTCTCTCCGTTCACAGCCAAAGCTCCATGCTCCCGAGATCTGTCATCGCGTCACTCCTACGGCCTCACGGAACGCAACGTATGTTGCCCGTCTTCAGCCCTACCGAACGTCAACGGTGATCGGTGGTTGCTACTCTTACCAATCATGCTCCCCTTGCACAGAACGATTACAAGTGCTGGACGTCGCAACATGTCGTAAATAAGAAGAAAGAAAAGCGGGAGAAATGGAGAGACTGCGGGATGCGAGACTAGGATGGCTAGTGATGAGTGAGAGTACACACCCGTACAGTCAATTTAACCTCACCCTACAACTTTTCTTTTCTCTGCTTCTTCCTTTTTCATTTGATTCTGTTTTAAAAATGGGACGAGTACGCGTGTTCAGCCATCTTAAAAGAGAGGAGGGGGAAGGGGAGGGGAAGGCGGACCCAACAGAAGAGCCAAGAAACCCCCGGCCCGACCAGTCGCCAACCCCGGTTGGGCAGCATCTTTGTTCTGCAGGCGGACTACGACGTATTACTAGATATTCGTACTATCGCTACCATCACTGTCAGTACTACTATTACCTGCTACTACTATTACTATGACTACTATGACTACGACTACGACTACTATTACTAATTACTACCACTACTACTATGAGTCATGAACGCATGTACGGGTATTGACGAGTAGTTTCTTCTCCAAAAGATTACGGGTAGTCACGCTGCCAATCCCTCACACCACTACCCCAAACCACTTAGCGGGTAGTAATAATACGACTGCATCTACAGAAGCATATGCACATCGTCCGCTTACCAGCAAGCTCGTCTTGGCGCTTTGGCATCTCTGGTTCCGAGACAACCAGCAAAGACCGTGGCACCCATGATATCCGCAAGGAGGGAAGGAGGGCCGAGGAAGAGTCCTATGCATGTACTAGTACGGAACAGATACATGTATATGTATTGATCACGACGGACCCTAGCTCTCCAACGATAGTAGCGGTCAATCTCGTAGTGAAATGACGGACGCATCTGCGTCGATACATCTTAAAAGTACGCGTACGCCTACTGCCATGCTACCACGGCTACATGCTACTGGCAGCTAGAGTCCAATGCTCGCATCACGTATATGCCAATTAATGTGGGACGACTTGATTACCACCATGCCATCCTCAACAACCGAGATGCCTACTACAGGCACAAGCGGGGGAGAGAGAACACCGTCGGTGTAGAGGCGGGAAGGGTTGTGTCAGGCCGTGGTGTTTTTTTCATACACCCAGAGAGATAGTGGTAGAAAGAGGGAGAGCAAGGGATGGGGGGAACTGTTCCTCGAAAGAAGTAGTAGGAGAAGAATCGATAGTCGAAGAAAAGAAGATACGAGCACCACCATATGACTCTACAAGGCGGTGTCCATGGGAGGGTGATAATGTGGGTATGAGGTCACGAGCATTACTTATTGCTCTTGCATCATGGTGAAATTTTCTTAACAGAAACGAGTACGGGAGTTGGCAACAACCCAACCCAGACCACTATGGCACGCAGCAGGAAAAGAGGAAGGAGAAGAAGAAGTCCGGCATCACTTCTTCCCATTCTTACTAGTCAATAGGTTCATCAAGCAAACATGCCACCATCAATCACCACATTCACCCCAGTAGTGCTCTTGGATTTGGCAAGACACAGCACCTGCTCGGCCACATCGTCCACCTCAACCAGACGCTTGAGCCTGGTGCGCTCGCGGATTGCATTTTGCTTTTCCACCGAAAAGACTTCCAAACCCCAATCCTACAGATAACGAAAGAAGAAGAAGGGAGAGAAAAGAGTTTTTCATCGTCAGCATGCGTGCGGGGGAGATGAGGGGTCGGCCGGGCGTTTTGCCGGTCATGGGGGGGGGGGGGGGGGGGGGGGGGGGGGGCGGAGGAGAGGGGAAAGAATGGGAGTCGAACGTACAGTCAACATGAGTCCAGGAGAGACGGTGTTGACCCTGATATTGGGACCGGCAGCATTGGCGAGGCCCTTTGCCAGATGAATCTGAGCAGCCTTGGTGACGCTATATGCCTGAGAGGAAGGAGAGGAAGTGTTACTGAACTGGCCCATCTCTATGGGTGTATGCTGTATGGGGGAGGGGTTCTTATCGAGTGAGTGGATCGGTAGATTTACCAGAGAGCTCCCGCTGACACTGACGCCGGCTAGGGAAGCCGTGGTGATGAAGGCCCCCTTTGTGACGTCGAGGTGCTTCTTGGCCGCGTGCATGAGAAACAGGTGAGACTTGACGTTCATGTTGAAGCAGCGGTCCCAGTCCTCCTCGACGACATTGTCGTCCAGGTTGCCGATGTCGCGGAACCTGGTCCACCCGCCGTTGGAGAAGACGACGTCGATCCGCCCAAACGTCCGGACCGTCTCGTCCACGAGCTGAGTGAGCTGCGCCCGGTCTCCCAAGTCGGCCCTTATGGCGACGTAGTCGAGCTTGCCCAGCGTGTCGGGTGATATCGTAGCCAGCTCCTCGGCCAGCCGGTTCGCCCTCTCGGCGTTGGAGTAGTAGTTCACCGCGACGCGCATGCCGTTCCGGGCAAAGAGGCGGGCTGTGGCAGCCCCGAGACCGGCTGATCCGGCCGTTATGAGGGCGACAGGTGTGTCGCTCATGATCGGGGTTGAGATACAAGACTATACCGATCGAGCATTGAATAGAAGGAGGAGGAAGGGAGGAGGAATTTTAGAAGATTTTTGTTTTTTTTGTTTATTTCATCTAATGGGGGGAGGGGGGGGAAGCTGGAGAGTATTCATGACGATGCAGTAGAAATCATAGATAGCCGAGCCCAGTCGGATGGGCCGACGAACTGCGACTAAGACGCAAGTAGCATTACGACTATTAGTAGTAAGACTACATGTAGATTACTTTGCCTGTCAGCCACGTGCGACTCCCCAAGGACCTATAAAGCAAGGAGAGATGGAAAAAAAAAAAGAGAAGGCATCAAATCACGGGACTACCTCAGCACCTCCCGACATGATTCCGCAAGGCTGACATTACTTTGTAAGTTTCCCGACTGTAGCTCACCAAGCAATCGGGCGGCGCGACGGTAGACGACTAACAATCATTTGGCATTGCATCTTCTCTACTAGGGAATATCACGGCAACGGGGCGAGACGGTCGATAAGCAGCTATCTAGAACTGATAAGATTATGGGGCGGGGGGGAGGCCTGACGCCTCACTGTATAAGGGCTAGTTCCATCGCGTAGCTTGGTGATACAGTATATTACTCCGTACTTGGTGCCAACAAAACCCCAGAACTCGTACTAATAAATTCGTATATTAACCTTCTGCCACTAACGTCGGAATGACAATGAGATTGTACTTGTGCTCGTATCTAGGAAAAAAAAACAGATCCTATCATTACAGGTTTTTTTTTTTTTTTTTTTTTTTTGTTATATAGTAGCTATGCGCCGGAGAGCATATGAGGGGTCAACATCCAGAAGGCTTTGACGCAATGACCCTTGACCGCAGTGGTTGGGACTTTCAAGCAGCATTACTAATTCAGGCAACGCCCGTAACAGGACCAGACGCATGATCGCGCGTCTCTGGGCCGAATTTCCCCTCAACAACGGGGGGAAAGTGGCACATTCTCTCTCCCTCTCCCTGCAGAGAAGATCCCCCCCCCCCCCCCTTCCTTTGCTTCTCTTCGAAGCACGGAATCTCTTATTTTCGGGGTTAATCATCTTCACACTATGCACAATGCATACGCCATTCGAACGAACCTCGAGTTGTAAAGCAAGAGGTGCGTTTTTAGTCGGACTGTGGCGAAAGGCTGGTGGTGCTGCCTCAGCCACCAAGATTGATTACAGCTAACAATCCCAACTTCTCTACATTAGGCTCTCCACGACCAACGTAAACCCCCCCCTTCATAGGAACCTGCAACTTGCAACTCGATTACAGTTCTCTCTCTCCCTCCCCTTTTGTTTTTTCAAGTTCTGCATATACGAACCGAACGGCAGCCAGAGGTGGCGGCCCCTCTGTTTCATCATCTCCCGCCCCCACACTGGCCTGGAGACTTGGGGAGCTACTCTCATCATGTCCAGCCCACCTCGCGAGGTGAGCCCCTCGGCCACGCCCGACGAATCGAACCCCAGACCATCCACCGAATATGGTCCCTCGCCCGTCCCGTCACCGGGGACGCAAGTCGAACCGTCTCACAGCAGCGACACCGGGCAGCAAGAAGACGTTGCTGTCCCTGACCTCCGACCTGTCGACGGACAGGCTGCACCGCCGCCCCCTGTACTCCCGACATTCGACGACTCACCACAAGACATATGGGCCGACACCGACAGCGGTGCCGAGACGCCGGCCCTGGTCAGTACCCAGACTACCACCTCTGCCTCTGCTTCCTCCGCAGGCCAGCAGCAACACGACGATGACGGCCATCCTCCTCTTCCGCCGCCGCCGCCCCCTGTGCTCCCGACTTTCGACGACTCACCACAAGACTTGTGGGCCGGCGAACCCGAGACGCCGGAATCGAGGGGTCAGGACATCATCTCCCAGCTGGGCGTGACCCTGGCCGAGGCGCAACTCAGCAGCAGCGGCGGCAGCAGCAGCGGGACATCGGTGTCGACTCTATCTAGGACGACGTCGTCGCTCGCAGGCGGTCTGCACAGGCTTGACATCCGCGGACTTCATCATCATCCTGCCCATCCGGCACCGCAACAGCATCAACATCACCCGTCGCTGCCACCGTTCCCCGGTGCTGCCCCCCGCCCCCCTCGCAATGACAGCCTTGCTGCTTCTGCCGAGATACGGGCGGCTACGCAGCCGGCAGCGGCACCCCTCCCCGCACCCCCCGGTGCACGACGACTCGACAGCTCGGACACGGGCGCGAGCAGTCGACGGTCCTCGGACTTCGCCGTGCCCAGATGGCAGCCTGATGTCGAGGTCACGTACTGCCCCATCTGTCACACGCAATTCAATTTCTTCGTCAGGAAGCATCACTGCAGGTATGGAACCACCCTCACGCCCCCTCCCCAGGACCACCAAAACTGACATGTACACGCGCGCACCCACAGAAAGTGTGGAAGGGTCGTCTGCAACGCTTGCTCTCCTCACCGGATCATCATTCCCTACCAGTACATCGTGCGACCCCCCGGATTCGATATGCCCATCTCGCAGGGCCTGCTTTTCGACGGTTTCGGTTCCGGATATTTCGACATGAATGGCATATCTGGGGGCGAGAGGGTGCGGCTGTGCAACCCGTGTGTGCCGGACCCCAACATTGCACCCCCGCAGCATCAGCAGGGACCGGGTGCCGTGCCGGGAACACCGGGAGCGGGGAGCGTGTCGTCGCCCTCGCCGTCAGTGCTGTCCCCCAGGAGCTCTCATCAGAGATCGTGGAGCAGCATTGGGGATGCCTATGCGGCCGCGACGAGTAGCAGCCGATTTGGCATGGGGTTGCCGGGAAGCCACCATGCGAACGATATCCTCCAATCATACGGGCCGAGGACCAGGAGCATGACCGTGGTGAGTCCCCCCCCATCTGAACGACCAGGAATCCATCAGAGAGAGTATGTATGCTAACAGTGCAATGCACCACAGAACCCGTCAGGAAACGTTCTTTCAGGAGGGTCCCCCTCACCACGGATACGCGCCAGCTCCAACGCCTACTACCCGTACGCGTCCACGGGACGGTACCCAGAAAGTGGCGGCGAACCGAGCACGTCGGTCCCCCCGCACGCGGGCCGTTACGGGCTCCCGACATCAGCATCGACGTCTGCCGTTCCATCGTCGTCCCACCACGTCTACCACCAGCAGCGAGTTCTCCCGCCCACGCCTCAGATTGCCGAGGAGGACGAGTGCCCGATCTGCCACCGCGAGCTACCCCAGCGGCATCTGGCCAACTTTGAAGCACTCCGCGAGTCGCACATCACGTCCTGCATAACGTCGCACAGCACATATGGAAACAGCCCCGGCGGCCGATCGGGGGCGGGCGGCGGCGGTGGTAGCGGAGCAGGAGAAGGAGGTGGGGTGATCCCACCCCGACGTACGGGCATGTACTCGTACGCGGCGACGGAGAAGGACTGCATCGACGACGCCGAGTGCACCATCTGTCTGGAGGAGTTTACGGTGGGAGTGCCGATGGCGAGGCTGGAGTGCCTCTGTCGGTTCCACAGGTCGTGCATCTCGGCCTGGTTTGTCAATCACCCTGGACGATGTCCTGTACACCAACATGACGGGTTTGGATATTAGATTCTTCTTCTATTTGTTTCAATTGCAGGCATAGGAGTTTAGGTGTCTTTCTCTACCTATTCCTCTCCCCCCCACTCCCCTTTCTTCCCCGTCTTCTCTCTGCATTTTTTTTCACTTGTTTCTTGTCGGGTTCCTCATAAGCACATTCTCTCCTCTTCTTCCTTTTCCTTTACTTTTGCGTCATCTCTGTGACTGATACGGTACATATCATTTCAAATCGAACACGGTATGACGATTCATCGAGCACATACTGGTATCTGTTGCTGCGTCGTCGTTGCTTTGGGAAGGTCTGGTGAAATGAACATGTGTTGCCGTGTGAGACGTTTGTGTGGGGTCTCTGGTATGGAAAAAAAAAAAAGCATGTGACGTGGGTTCACGGCATGGTGCATACCGTCAAAAAAAGAAGAAAAAGAGAAAAAGAGAAAAAAAAAAGAAAAAGAAAAGAAATCAATAGCATAGGTCAGCTATTGACATGGATTAAATGACAAGACGGGGAGAGATCTGTGCTTTTATTTTATTTTATTTCTGTTCCTCGGGAGAACACTAGTATGCAAGCAGCTTAGAAACAATGTCGATACAAGGAAGGCGACGGCAATACTAGGCAGCCATCGATAGTTCATCGACACTTGTACCCGTACACGTGCATCTCACGAGTTTTGTTTACATGTACGAGAGTGTATGCGGGATGACGATTTTCGGAGCAGGGGTATCAGAGACGAAAAAAAAAAAAGAAAGAAAGAAAGAAAGAGAAAGAGAGCAGCAGCAATCCAAAGCAAAAATAAATAAATAAAAATAAAATAAATAAAAGCAATGGAAAGCAGAGCCAAAGCAAAAAGCACCCGGTCAAGCTGAAGAGCTAGAGTGGAGAAAGATGGGGCTACTGGGGGGTTACTGGGGGGGGCTTTGGAGTTGGTGGAATGGATGGGACCTTTTAGTGCCCTTTTCTTTTCTCTCCTGTCCTTCTTTCCAGATTTAGTGCGGGCACTTGCGCATGTTTTTTATATATATATAATTGAATTGAATTTGATTTTTTTTTTTCTTTTTGGTGTGATATGTGTTGATACTATACCAGGTATGGACATGTAGGGAGCAGGAAGACCTGACTCTCAACAAGGGACGCGGATCGGAACCTAGAGGGTAAGAGAGGGTAGAGAGGCCTCTACAGGTATTGTTATTATCATGTATTACTCGTAAAAGGTAATCATACTAGAGCACGGAGTATCTTACTATCTTACCGATATTAAGCAGTAAATAAAATCATCTGTAGTGTCTTCAGAGACCTAGTAAGGAGTACAGATCAGAGGCAGCTAATATTAACTGTCTAGATGGATGTGGTGGTATTAGCCCTGTAGGTGCGTGCGTGCGTGCGTGCGTGCGTGCGTGCGTGTGCACGTACAGATTACCTGGATCGGGGCTGACAAGGATGGGACAGGGTCATTGTAAAAATAAAATAAAAAGGTCCCCGCAACGATGGGAGAGAGATGATGTCCACACGAGTATGGTATGTAGTACGATGACGATGCCTCGCGTGTGTGTCGATGATGGGGTACAGTGACGATATGCCTGGTGTGTGTATGTGTGTGTGTGTGTGTGTGTGTGTGTGTGTGTGTGTGCTGGTGGTGGAGTGTATAACGAGTATGATGATGATGACGATCTCTTCCCTGATGCCCCGTGTCGATGGTGGCTGTGTGCGGGAAGGGGGAGAGACGGAGAAGTGTGTGTTATGTTCCAAAGACTCGACCTGCTCTCTTCTTCTTGTGCGTGTTCCGGTGCATGAGTTGGCTGACGGAGGGGGGGCGACGGCGCCGGTTACCTGAGTCGCACGGGTGCAGACGGGGTAAACACGAGTTGGAGTGGCGGGGCGACGTGTGCAGCGTGTACAGACAGGGGCAGGTAGAGAGGGAGGGAGAGGCAGAGAGGCAGAGAGGCAGAGAGGCGAAGAGGCAGAGAGGCAGAGAGGCAGAGGCACAGAGACAGGTGGTACTATCAGTAAGTAATAGTGCATGTAGTGAGTGCATGTAGTGAGTGCATGTAGTATTGCTACTCGTACACGTACGGTATAATCAATAATCAATAGCAGTGCCGTACCCAACCGAGTAATACATGCAATAAAAAAAAATGCATCAGTTACGGAGTACTCGTATCATCAGTACCATGTCTAATGGAGAGAGAATTTGGAGAGAGATCTCGGGAACGGACCCAACATCACAGTCTATTATATCTTATCCAATAACCCGGGGGGGATGATTGATGGAATGAATGAATGCCTGTACCCGTCAATCTGTGCTCCGTAGGCCGAGGCCTCTGCATCACAGGCTGGCTGCGCTACAATCTACCTCGTAGCAGCCACCCTGCATCCAGCGCTCGTAGTCATCAATCATCATCACTGCTCTGCCCACTGAGCAGAACCCAAGATGTGTGACAGTAGATGGGTTCCACGGGTCCCATCTCCACCTGGCGTCCAGCCCCTCCTCTCCTCCTCCGCCCCTTGTCACGCTCCACGCTCCACGCTCCACCCAACCACGCCAACTTGTGGGATGGGCAGAGAATGACGACGAGTGCTCACTGCTCGTACTGCGGTCGTTACGAGTACTCGTAATAATAACCTGTACATCGTATCTTGATTGCATTACGTCGCCGGTTCAGCTGTGCTGCACGCCATCTCCGTCATGATCCTGGACAGAATTCATCCTAGCTGGCTGGCTGGTGATCCAGCCTTCTCGATCTTTACCCTCTAGGAAAATTCTCTCTCTCCCTCCCTCCCACTCTCTTCAACTCGCTAGGGGTGATATACCTCGGTTCCTTCTCCGACTACTCGTACGGGGGTACCCGTACATGTACGTACAGCATGTATTCTCACTCACCCCCTGCCCTATCAACCCCAGATGACGAGCATTAACCCATGGACGATGAAGAGTTATTCTTGGGTCAGGTATAAGCTACTGATGATATATACATGTACGTGTGCGAGAGCATGTATCGCTCGAGTAATATGACTACCTCCACGAAGTTATTATGCTGCCCATCGGCAATATTATTGCTGCATCATACGAGTGCATGTGGAAGAAATACATGTACCAAGTAACGGAACGGAGCCGCAAAAGGTACATACATGGGTTTTTTTTTTTTTTTTTTTTGGTTGGTTGGTTTGGGTTGGGTTGGTTTGATCCGGATATTGGCGTGTGATGTGAGATGAGATATGAAGATGAAGAGAAAGATGAAGAAGAAAATGAATAAATTAGAGGGAAAAAAAGCAAACAAAACCCTTTTTTTTTCCCTTGTTGCACTGCACTTGTCTTACAGCTGGGCTGACCCCCATCTCAATCCAACTGAGCTAGCTATTGACTAGCCTGCAGCTTGCTTTCTGGCGCCACAGCCTTGGACCTTGGTTGGCCCTCTCAATTCCTCTCTTTGCCGTCCGTCCTCCTCCTCCTCCTCCTCCTCTAAGCCTGAGACGGTCTTGTTTTTCTTTCTTTCCTTTTTCTTACTTCTTCTTTTCTTCCCTTCCTTCTTCTTTTTTCTCTCTCTCTTTCCTTCCTGCTCCTTCAATCGCTCAATTTCAATTCTAGCCCTTCAATCTCCATCTCCTCTTCCCCTCCACCCCCCCTCCCATTTCCTCTCTGCTGGCCCGGAAATTACCCCAGCAAGGCCATAGTGACGCACTCACTACCAGTGTGGCGCACGCACACCCTCATCATCCATCTCCCGTTTCCTCGTTCCACGCAACGAGAGGCGCCCTCCCCTCCCTCATAGCCGCTCCTCGTCTCGCGCTGCGCGGCCGCGCCATCATCAGAGCGCACACGGACAGCACCGTGGATGCTACCGACCCGCTCGCAGTCCCGAGGTTGACTTGTCCAGACATCGTCTTCTGATTCCGTCTCGGACCCCTCACCCCCCTCGAGGAAAGAAATACAAGCAAACGCCACCTGACAAGAGGCTCGCTCTTCCACATACACACACACACACACACTCTCTCTCTCTCTCTCACAAACACACACCGCCGGTCATGCCGTCCCGCGACGCAGCCGAGCTCAAGGCAGAGGGCGCCATCGAAGCCGCCCAGTCTACCCAGACTCGGGAAGCTGCCGATGCTGCCCAGAACGAGATCCTAGAGCAGTCCAAGAGGTCGGGTGTCCCCGCCTTCTCCTTCGACCCGGACGCCTCTGCGGCCGAGAAGCGCGCTCAGGCCCGCAATGTAAGGAGCATCCCTCCCGCAGACCACACATACATACACAAGCCCCTCCCTCCCTTCAACTTCCACTCAGCTTCCACCCATACTGACGACCAGAGGGAATCCCGTAGGCTATCCCCGCTGAGCTCCGCAGCAGAGAAAAGGCCCATGCGATCGTCTCCGACATCGATGACGGAACTGGCCCGGACGAGGAGCTTCCCGAGGCTGGCAAGGGCGGTGCCATTGATATCGCCAACGGCTCCGTCGGGAGACCCCTGGGTGATGGCGACCCCGAGGCCAAGGAGGAGCCCTTCTCCCGAACCGGCTGGGCTCCCATGTTCGGTCCTCTGGGCGACAAGGATGAGGAGTTCCAGAGCCTGCTCGAGCACGCCACATGGCTCGAGGGCAAGCTTCCCGATCAATTCTACGGCGGTCAGTGACAGAATAGACAGGAACCCTCCCCCCCAACCCCACCCGGCCCTTTCACGAAGCTGCTGCTGCCGGGTGGGGGATGGCGGAGAGGGAGAGGGAGAGGGAGAAGAAGGGCCGCTGACAATGTTTCTGCAGACTGGTACCACAATGCTGCCATGGTCGTCTTCGCCTGCCTGGCATCCTGGCTCGTCGCCGTCCTCGGCGGAGGCCTAGGCTGGCTCATCATCGTCATGGCCTTCTGCTCCACCTACTACAGGACCTCGCTGCGCCGCGTGCGCCGCAACTTCCGCGACGACATTCACCGTGAGATGGCCCTCAAGAGGCTCGACACCGACAACGAGTCCCTCGAGTGGATCAACTCGTTCCTCGTCAAGTTCTGGCCCATCTACCAGCCCGTCCTCGCCCAGACCATCGTCAACTCGGTCGACCAGGTCCTCAGCTCCGCCACGCCCTCCTTCCTCGACAGCCTAAAGCTCAAGACCTTCACCCTCGGCACCAAGCCCCCGCGCATGGAGCACGTCAAGACCTACCCCAGGACCGAGGACGACATCGTCATGATGGACTGGAAGTTCAGCTTCACCCCCAACGACACGGTCGACATGACGGCCCGCCAGCTCAAGAACAAGATCAACCCCAAGGTCGTCCTCGAGATCCGCGTCGGCAAGGCCATGATCAGCAAGGGCCTCGACGTCATCGTCGAGGACATGGCCTTCTCCGGCATCATGCGCCTCAAGATCAAGCTCCAGCTGCCCTTCCCCCACATCGACCGCGTCGAGATGTGCTTCCTCGAGCGCCCCACCATCGACTACGTCTGCAAGCCCCTCGGCGGCGAGACGCTCGGCTTCGACATCAACTTCATCCCCGGCCTCGAGAGCTTCATCCAGGAGCAGATACACGGCAACCTGGCCCCCATGATGTACGCCCCCAAGACCTTCCCCATCGAGGTCGCCAAGATGCTCGCCGGCAACCCCGTCGACCAGGCCGTCGGCGTCCTCGCCGTCACCCTGCACGGCGCCAACGCCCTCAAGAACACGGACAACTTTGCCGGCACCGTCGACCCGTACGTCTCCGTCACCCTCAACCAGCGCAACGAGCTGGCCCGCACCAAGACCGTCGAGGACAACTCGAACCCCCGCTGGAACGAGACCCACTACATCGTCCTCAACTCCTTCACCGACTCGCTCGACCTCCAGGTCTTTGACAAGAACGATTTCCGCAAGTCCAAGATGCTCGGCGTCGCCTCCTTCCCCCTCGAGAACGTCGAGGAGCTCAACGTGCACGAGAACCTGCGGCTCGAGGTCATCTCGGACGGCAAGGTCCGCGGCAACGTCTCCTGCGACCTCCGCTTCTTCCCCGTCCTCGAGCCCACCAAGAACGAGGAGGGCGTCGAGGAGCCCCCGCCCGAGTCCAACCAGGGCATCCTGCGCTTCACCGTCCAGCAGGCCAAGGACCTGGACGGCACCAAGAGCCTCGTCGGCATGCTCAACCCCTACGCCTGCCTCTTCCTCAACGGCAAGGAGGTCCACCAGACCAAGAAGCTCAAGCGCACCAACAACCCCATCTGGGACAACGGCTCCAAGGAGATCCTCATCACCGACCGCCGCAAGGCCAAGCTCGGCGTCTCGGTCAAGGACGACCGCGACCTCGCCGGCGACCAGGACCTGGGCAAGTACCAGATCAAGCTCGACGACATGCTCGAGCTGATGCAGCAGGGCAAGGAGTGGTACCACCTGTCGGGCGCCTCGTCCGGCCGCGTCCACCTGACGGCCCAGTGGAGGCCCGTCGCCATCTCGGGCGTCGTCGGCAGCGGCGGCTACGTCACCCCCATCGGCGTCATGAGGCTGCACTTCAAGAAGGCCACCGACCTGCGCAACCTCGAGGCCTTTGGCAAGTCGGACGCCTACATGCGCGTCCTGCTCTCGGGCATCGACAAGGGCCGGACCGTCACCTTCTTCAACGACCTCAACCCCGAGTGGGACGAGGTCCTGTACGTGCCCGTCCACTCGCCCCGCGACAAGCTCACGCTCGAGGCCATGGACACGGAGAAGATGGGCAGCGACCGCAGCCTGGGCCTCGTCGACCTCTACGCCGGCGACTACATCCGGCAGGTCGACGGCGAGTACGTCGCCCACGACCTCAAGGAGGTCCGCGAGGACGGGCTGCGCATGCACGGAAAGGGCATGCCCAAGGGTACCCTCACCTACACGGTCGCCTTCTACCCCTGCCTCAACGTCGCCGACCCCGACGACGACGAAGAGGAGAAGGCGGAGGAGGAGGAGGCGGAGGAGGAGGCGAAGCAGGAGGCTGCCGCCGCCGCCGCCGCCCCCGCCGCCGCTGCTGCCGCCGAGAAGCCCGCCACCCCCACTACCCCCACGTCCTCGGCGTCCAACACGTCGCTCGCGTCGGGCAAGCAGCCCGTCGGCAAGAAGGGACCCCCGAAGCTGCGCCTCAGCCCCGAGGAGCTCCTCAGGCACGAGAGCGGCCTGCTCATCTTCAAGCTCATGGAGGCCGACATGCCCGACTCCAACACGCGGCTCGAGATCTTCGTCGACGACTACCTGTACCCGGCGTACACGTCGTCCAAGGCCTCGAAGAAGTCGCACACGTTTGACGAGATCGGCGATTGCGTCATCCGCGAGCTAGACTTCTCGAAGCTCACCATCAAGGCCCGCAAGAAGGGTGACGATTCCGACAAGGTCCTGGCCTCGGTGTCTGGGAACACGCTTGACACGTTGAAGCAGTGCCTGGTATGTTTCTCTCCCCTCTCTCTCTCTCCTCCGCTCTTCTCTCTCCTCCTCCGTTCTCTCTTCCCTACCCACCCATCCTTTCTCCTTCTCTTCTCCAGAGGGGCCAGGACGACAACAGATGCTGACTCGCCTAGAATAACCCTACCACGCTCAAGCTCAAGCCCGAGGATGGCGGCCCGGGGTCCGTCAAGGTCAGCCTCAAGTACATCCCCATCAAGATGCAGCTGGACGCCAGCGAGAGCATCAATAATATGGGCAAGCTCCGCGTCGACCTGATCGACGGTGTCGATCTCCCCGCTGCCGATAGGAACGGCAAGAGCGACCCCTTCTGCAAGTTCGAGCTCAACGACAAGGAAGTGTACAAGAGCGAGGTGCAGAAGAAGACGCTGAATCCCAAGTGGAACGAGTCGTTTGACGTAGACGTGCCCTCGCGCACGGCGGCCCAGTTCAAGGTCGACGTCTACGACTGGGATCTCGGCGGCAGGCCCGACTTCCTGGGCGGGGCCCCCATCCCGCTGGACAGCCTGGAGCCCTTCAGGGCCACCGAGGTCAGCCTGCCCCTGGACGGCAAGTCGGGAAGCATCCGCGTGCGCCTCGTATTCCGACCCGACTACGTGCGCAGGAGCAAGCGCGGGACGGCGACGTTTGGCGGAGGCCCCGGCCGCATCGTCACCGGCGTGGCCGGTGTTCCCTTCAAGGGCGGCGCCGCCGTGGCGTCGGGCGTCGGCAGGGGTGCCACCTTCCTGCGACGCGGTCTCTTCAGCAAGAAGGACGACGACGCCATCTCCGAGCGTTCGGTGCCCGTGGTGGCAGCCAACGGCGTGGACGGAGCGGCGGGTGGGGCGGACCAGCAGCCGATCCCGAGCATCGAGACGTCGCCGCCGCCGCCTAACGGCAACGGGGCCGGCAACGGCAACGGACATGCACGGACCAAGAGCTTCGGGTCGGCATCTATCCGCAGCAACGCGCCGCCGTCCCCGGGCAGCGGCACGGCCATCTTCACGGTGGTGGGGGCGAGCGGGTACCCGGCATCGACTGACCTGTACGTGACGCTGACGCAGCTGTCGCCCCGGGAGAAGACGGTGGGGAAGACCAGGCACCACAAGTCATCCGACGGCAGCTGGACGTTTGACGAGTCGTTCAAGGTGACGTGCACGCCTGACGTGCCCTTCAAGGTCGAGGTCAAGGGCGAGCACACGCTCCGCAGCGACGACGACCTCGGCGAGCACGCCTACTTTGTCGACGAGTCGGGCTCGGGCATCCCCAAGGAGCTGAGCGTAGGAGGCGGAACCGTGACCATCAAGAGCACTTTTCAGCCCGCCGAAGTGTCGGGCTCGTCGCTGACGGAGAGCCCCCGTGCCGTATCGCGCAGGAGTTTCCTGGGTAAGAGGGATTCCACTCCCGGACGGAACTCTCGCGAACCCACACCTGCCTAGGTTGAATAATCTCCCCCTCCCCCCCCCCCCCCCCCCCCCCCCATCGTTTTCATCATCTCTTTTCATTTAAAATTAAAAAAAATCTCGTTCAAAGGAAGGATGATGAAAGTTGGTGAAGGAAAAAAAAAGAGAGAGGGAGGGAAAAAAATTAAAAAATTAAAAAAAAACTATCATTTAGTACTACCAGTAGTAGTTGTTTTTTTTTTCTTTTGTCAGAGGAGACAGGAGGAGTCATGGTTTTGATTTTGGGCTCTCTTTTTTTTTTCCAACTTTCTCTTTTTCCGTTCCTTTCAGATATCCTGTACGACAACCGTTTTACATATATAATATATTAATATATATATATATATATAATTCAATCGAGTGTTGAATGATGATTGTGGTGTTTGGTCTTGCAAACATTTGTATTACTTCTTCTACTCCGTATAATACTTGTATTACTACTAACTAGTACGGAGTGGCTTGACAAGATATGATCATGTGGCTTGACAAATTGTGGCTTACCCCCCCACCTGTGACGACGACACGAGCTGCCTGACCTGACCTACATGTACTCAACCTGAGCTCTCTTCCCTCTCCGCCCCGCGCACCCCATTTCCATTCGTCCAGACGAAGTCGACGACGACAACCACCACCATCACCACGGTAATCCGACGAGACCGAAGAGAACAGCAAGAGGGGGAAAAAACACAGCCTGTCGAAGACAAGAACAAAAACCGCACACACACACACATACACACACACAACACCCCACACATACACAGTCATGGACGCCCTCGTGGCTCAGTACAGCCGTCCGGCGGTGGAGGAAAAGGACCCGTCTGAGCAAGAGGTCATGGATATGATGAATCCCAATCCCACGGACCATCTTTCGATGAAGTTTGCCATGCCACCCGTTGCGAATGTGAGTTTCTTTGCTCTCTCTTGCTCTCTCTCTCTCTCTCTCTCTCTCTCTCTCTCTCTCTTTTGCTCACTGCTCTTGCTTTTTTCTTTTTTTACCTTGGCTGCTCCCCCCCCCCCCCCCCCCCCCCCCCACGAAGAAGGTATATCAACATCCATTTCCCTCGCGAAACACTGACTAACGCAAGAGATGGTTGATGATAGCCCGCCTCTTGGCTCCGTTCCGCCACGGACGACCGATCCAACCCCGACTGCCCGATCAAGATTGCGCACGGCACGACGACGCTGGCCTTCCGGTTTCAGGGGGGCATCATCGTCGCGACGGACTCCCGAGCTACGGCGGGCGACTGGATCGCTTCGCAGACGGTCAAGAAGGTCATCGAGATCAACAGCGTGCTCCTGGGCACCATGGCCGGCGGCGCGGCCGACTGCCAGTTCTGGCTGTCGTGGCTGGGCATGCAGTGCCGGCTGCACGAGCTCCGCCACAAGCGCCGCATCAGCGTGGCCGCCGCCTCCAAGATCCTGGCCAACCTCGTCTACTCGTACAAGGGCATGGGGCTCAGCATGGGCACCATGTGCGCCGGCGTCACGGCCGAGGAGGGGCCCGCGCTGTACTACGTCGACAGCGACGGCACCAGGCTCGCCGGCAACCTGTTCTGCGTCGGGTCCGGCCAGACCTTCGCCTACGGCGTCCTCGACGCCGAGTACAGCTACGACCTCGACGCCGAAGCCGCCCTCGAGCTCGGCAGGAGGTCCATCCTCGCCGCCACCCACCGCGACGCCTTCTCCGGTGGCTACATCAACCTCTACCATATCGAGGAGAACGGCTGGACCCGCCACGGCTTCTCCGACACGAACCCAATCTTCTGGAAGACTAAGCTCGACAAGGGCGAGTTTACAAACGTCACTAGCGAGCTGGAATAGATATTTGTGTTTGGTCTTTTTCTTGTTTCCTTCTTTTCTTCTTCTCTGTTCGCTTCATGGGATTTGAAAGAAACAAGAGAAAAAGGAATAGTAATTGAATGAAATAAATCAAAATTAAAATAGGAAAGAAAAAAACGAGACGAGAGAAATGTATTTGTTCAGCAATGACTTTTCCTTTCCCACTCTAATGATACAGTTGAGATGTTTCCTCCCTCATGATAAACCAGCTGTTTATTTTTCTTGGTATATATATATATATATACGTTAGTAGATACAGTTTATATGTCATGTACAAACGCTCAGAACCCAGGCCGCCTCAACCACCCGGGCACACCCAGTATACCGGGCCCCTGCGCGGGATCCATTGGCCACCTGTTGATGGCCAGCACGTCGAGGTCGGTGTGGTGCCCGGCGCGGTACATCTCCATGCCGGCCCAGGCGATCATGGCGGCGTTGTCGGTGCACAGCGCGGGCGGCGGGACGACGACCCGCATGTCCCGGTGTCCGCGGGCGTCCAGCGTCGCCCGGAGGACGTGCATGAGGAAGCGGTTGCACGCCACCCCGCCGGCCAACACGACAGTCCGCACCCCGCCCGCGCCCGCGCTCGAGTGGTGATGGTGGTGGTGGTGGTGGTGTCCGTCGCCGTCCAGGGCGATGCACAGCCTGTCGACGAGGTGTCTAAAGGCCACGGCCATGGTCTGCCTGGCCAGCTCTCGACGCTCGTCGACGTCCATGTCCTGGTCGGCGGCCCGTCTCGACTCGGCTATGCGCCTGACCGTCGTGCCGATGCTGGCGAACGAGTACGCCATCCTGCGGGTCTGGCGGAGCGGCAGCGGCAGGGTCCAGCCGTACCCCCCGGTCTCGCTCCGGGCCGGTGCGTCGGCTACCTCGGCCCCGCGCGACCGGCCCGGCGCAAAGGCGGACTCGTACTCGGCCCGGGTGCCGCCGTCGGGGAAGGCAAAGTCCTCGAGCACGCGGCCGTACATGACGTCCGGGGCCGAGTCGAGGACAGAGGCGGGCAAGATGTCCCGTGCCGAGTGGTCCAGGAGGTTCCCTAGGGCCACGTCGGCCGTCGTGGCCAGGATGGCGTGGTCCGTCAGCGAGCGCGAGTGCACCAGCTGGGTGTGGCCGCCTGATACGAGGAGGGATAGGAATGGGAAATCCGGCCCTCTCTCCCGGTCCTCGCCTCGCTCGCCCTGCCTCCGGGCCAGACTCTCCTCGCCTCCCGGGCCCCCGCTCCGGCCGTCGTCGACGGGCATGCGCCACCCCAGCGCCCTCGCCAGCCGCGGCGTGAGCGCATGAGCCTGCATGTGGTGGACCCCCACGAGGGGCACGCCCCAGGCCACGGCCAGGCCCTTGGCCGTCGACAGTCCGACCGACAGGTTCGGCATTATGCCCGGCCCTCTCGTGACGGATACGAAGTCGGGAACGCCCTTCCTCTGCGCCCGTGCCGTCGTCGCCGCCGCCGCGCCCGTCGAGGCAGGCCCACCGGGCAGGTGGCCGACGGCCTTCCGGACCAGAGGCGCCAGCGAGGTGGTGTGGCCCTGGACCGCGACGAGGGGCTCGATTCCCCTGAACCTCCTGTGGTCGGAGGATATCCGCTCGTTGAAGAGGAGGGTGTGCTCCCCCGTCTTGTCGTCACGCTCGAGGATGGCCACGGCCGTGTCGTCGCACGACGTCTCGATCGCGAGGGTCGTGAGCTCGCGTCCGTGTCCGGGGCCCAACTGCAGGAGTCGAGTGGTCGGTTGGCGGGTGCGCGGATGCAGCGGCAGCCGCTGCCGCACGTTGGCCGCCTGGAATCTCGAGAGGCGCATCGAGCTGGTGAGAAAGGGTGTGTTTCGACCTGTCGCCCTGATCGGATGCGATAGGTTGGCCAAGAAACAGTACCACCAGTGTAGACTTTAGAGTGGATCCCACTTTTTTTTGGTGATGCCCATCGCATGCTTCATAGATTCAAATAAAAGATAGATACATTTATTGATATTGCATCGATGGACAATTAGCATTGTCAGGGTATTGAGCAGATCATCTCCATTCTGTTGTATTTTATCTATACTGATTGTAATGCATTCTGCTCTTTCTTATTTTATTTTTTTTTTAAAAAAAAATCCTTTCAAAAAAAAAAAAAAAGACTATCCCGAAACGAAACCAAAATCAAGTCCATCTAGATTAGCACCATGATGGTGAATAAATCGAAGCAACGCCATACATGCCATCCTTTTCTTATCCCATGACAAGAAAGAAGAAAATATGCCACCAAGATTGTTCTTGACAAAGGAGATGAAACAGAAAGAAGGAATATACCAAAGAGTGTTACCAACGGAAAAAAAAAAAGCCAACAAGATTGTTTTCGGCAAAGGAAATGAGACAGAAAGTTTTACTCCCAATTCACCCAGACACACTTGCATCCCCCCGTCCCACCATCGAACCCTCCAAAGGACGTATCGTTATCCTTACGGGGGTTGATCAGCTCGCCGTCAAACGAGATGTCGTTGGACAGTAGCTTGGGGTTTTCCGTATCCAGCTTCTGCCTGCTATTCATGGGCCACTGCCACACGAGCTTCTCATCAGGGTCTCCGCCGTGCGTGTCTAGGCTGACGGTAACGGGGTAGGGCATCGTTCCGGGGCGGGTGAGATCTGCCTTCCCATCTATGCTGGGCTGGCTGGCGTTGCTGAGGAGCTTGACGCCGTGGTCTACGTCTCCAGACTTGCGCGTCCATATCTGCACCAGCATGCGCGTCTGGCCCCACGTCACGAGGTGGTTGGCCTCGGTCTTGGTGCACCCGCCATTCTCGTCAGCGGGCACGGCCCCGCCGCCGTCGTCCCTGGTCACTGACTTGACGAAGATGGTACGCTTAAAGTAGGTGTAGAAACCGTAGTGCTCCGTCGGTAGGCCCCGGTCAAACAGCCGCACGGGCTGCTGCTTCACCTCCGGGAGCATCCGGGCTGGCTGAGGGGTGCCGTCGGCGAGCAGGTCCGGAGGGTCGACAAGGTCCTTGACCAGCTCGTCGCCCACCGTCGTCTGGCGCCTGGCCAGTCCGGGCTGCTCGACGGCACCGTCGGTCGAGTCGAGCACGCTGATGTAGAAGGGCGCCGGCTCGCCGGCCTTGTCGTCCGACTTGACGCCGTCGGTTGTGTTACCCAGGAACCACATGTCCGCGAAAGTCGGGGGCTCGGGAGATGGGCTGAACTCTGTCGCCCGACGTGAGTGGACGTCCCGGGCTGAGACGTCCGGCTTGGGAATCCTGCCATCGGGGACGTCCCATTCCTTGCTCGTGCTGTTGTCCCACTGGATCTGCATGATTATGGTCGGCTGGTCGGCGTCGTACGGGCTCACGGAGTCGTGCTCCTCCTTGGGCAGTGAGCAGCTCCATATCGTCTCAGGTACAGTGCATCCGTCTCTGGATACGGTATTTTCCGGGCCAGCCACCGTCAGGACACCGGTAGGCATGGGTGGAAAGTCGGTCAGGTTGACCCAGATGGAAGGGGGCGGGTCGGAGGAGTGTCTGGGACGGGTCAGGACGACGCCGAGGACGATGGAGAGGATGATGAGGACCAGCGTCGTGGCCAGCACACCCATGTACACCCTTCTCCTCCTACGACCCTCGCGACCGGGACGGCCGAGACACCCGTGCGAGGGGATGCACCCGCGGCCTCGCCAGAAGCTGCCGAGCTTCCTCGCCAAGGTCTCCTCCCTTTCGTGGCGGCGGCGCTCGCGCTCAACCCTGTGCTCGGACCCGCGAGCATCGTGAGAGTGCTCCTGTGGGAGGTTGGATGCCATCGGCCGAGAGGGCACGGGCACGGGCGGTTGCGAGGGCATCTCCCTGGGGATCGTCGGCGTGATGGGTATATCCGTCATGGGCGTGGCTCCCTGGGATGTCATCGTGGCCGCGAGACCGGGAGATCCGGGGCCTGGAGAGGGTAGGAACTGCGACCGCAGTGGGTGCTCCGGGGGGGGGACGGCACGGTACCGCACAGGTCCGCCATCCCCCTCTTCATTCAGCCTCCGCGGTGGGGAGTATGGAGGCGGTGTTTCGCCCGATATTTCGGGTGTCACCACGATAGTCGGCTTCTCCGACGGCAACGTAGCATCGCCGAGACCGAGTGCCGTCGGCTGCGACAGGGGCTGTGGAACATCTCTCGTCTCGGGCCTTGCTGGTGGCGTCGGTGTCCGGCGCGGCGTCGGCGCCCGGACGATGGGCGGCGTTGATGCGCGGGGCACGGGCAGAGCCTGCTCGAGCGGCTGCTTCTCGCCGACGCTCTCTTGCTGGGCAAGAGGACTCTGGGTCTGCGCGTGGTAGTCACGCGGCGTGTTGGCGGTAGCAGGCGAGTTGGGCGAATCTGCCTTGGTCCTGCGGCTCGCAAACGTGAAGCGTCTGTCCATGAATGGGGTAACGACATGGTCCCACCATCCGTGTGACCTGGAGTTGGCGCTGTCAGGTGTGAAACCGGGGGCCAGCCCTTTGGGCTTGGCCTGCTTTTGGGGGCTCGGACTGCCGTCTTCCTCAAACAGGGTACAGGGGGTTCCGAGCTCATCATCGTCATTGTTGGCACTGCCAATCTCAAGGCTGATAAGCCTCTGATGCTGTGTCTTCTTGTACGTGGACGGCAGGGCCGGCACGGGAGGGACGTCCTGGTCGACGGGCTTTCTGGAAGAAGTCGCGTCGGTTGTCTGCGAGTAGAAGCTAGAGACGGCACGGGATGCCTTAGAGGATGCCGTGTCTGGCGTGTCTGGCGACCACACTGATATCTGTTGGCGGATCGGGGTAGTCGCTGGGGTCGACGACGGGGAAACCTGAGCCGGCAGGTTCCCACGATCAGCGTCGTTCGCCCGGACTGGGGCGCGGAACGTCAGCGCCTCAGCGGTGGGCGTTGTACGGCTATCATCATCTGAGGAGGCACCTGTCTCCTCCGAGGGCAGAGAGATGCCAATCATGATGGGGGCGTCTCCGGGAGTGAGGGCGTAAGGTGTGCGAGCGGACGCAGACTGGGGTGTGGCGGAAGCGGGGACCTTGCCCTTTTGATTCCTGAGCCAGTTCCAGTTTCCGACCGAAGCCGAGTTGGGGTCGCCCTCGAGGGCGCGGAGAGCAGCGGCGTCGACGAACTTGGGAGCGTCAGCGTCGTGGGTGGTCTGAAGCTGGGTGGCAAGTTGGTTCTGCCGGCGGAAGTTGGACATGTCGGTGATGAGCCTGATTCCAGCCTTTGCGTTTTGGGCTTTCTGTCTGTGTCTCGATCGCAGGCGCTTTATCCTGGTGGTGTTGCTCGCAGACTGGGAAGATGCTCTGGCTTGCTGTGCAGCGGACTTTTGTCTCGACGCGGGGGAGGCCGGGCTTTCGACGAGGGCCTGTTCCTCTGGGTCGATGGGGGTGACCACGTCATCGTCGTCCTGCCAGTCCTCCCAGTCTTCCGCTGAGCGTCGGCGTGGGAGCTGCCGAGCCGACTGTTCTCGAGAATCGTGTGACATGGCTGTGAGATTCTATGACGAACAAAGGCCACGGCTGAACAGTGACATGTTGGTGTGGAGTATGGTCAGGTCGTCTCTGTGACAGAACAGGTCGGGGCGAGACCTGGCTACTGGTAGCAGAGAGACAAGGAGATGTATGAGTCGATGCAATGAGACAGAGGAGGGGTGGGAGCAAAGGACAATGGAAGGCTCAGAATAGCGGATGGATGAAAGCGTCACGAGACAATAGTATGCAGGCTTGAACAATGAGAGACTCGGAACGACTTGGAAGCAAGCTCAGCCAGTGGTAGGATGGAGGGGAGAAAGAGAGGAAGAGAGAGGAAGAGAACTGAATGGACGGGAGAGAAGCGATGGACAACGTAGAGGAGAAGAGAAGAAGGAGGGCAGAAGCGCCCGAGGCGCGTCAGGCATGTTAAAAGAGGCATGATGAGCATCAAGCTGGGCGGCGGGTGATGGCCTATTGTCGCCTGGCGATGTGGTGATGCAGTGCAGAGTGAACGGCGTGTATCATACATGATTGGCTCGAGATGGGATCTGCGGGTTTCAGTGCGTAGGCGCCCGGGAGGAGATGGTTGGCTGTCATTGGTTGTGGCTGCTGACCTTGCCGCTCGGGGTAGGGAAGGTGCGCGCCTACGCTCTTTCCCCATCGAATGAGGGTCCAAGGAGAGAGAGTCTGTCTTGCTTGCCTTGTTTCCTGCCTCAGGCTTCGTCCAGCTGGCTGTTTGGCCGTGATTCAGATGTACTCGTACTGTCCGTTTGCCGTATTCACGTACGACGTGCAGTGTGTGCAGACGGGAAGTAGGCGATCCGGGGTTAGTCGTGCCACCAAACACAGTCAGGGTCCAAAAAGAGGTGAGAATGCTGCCGGTGGTTGTCAACCGGTAATGCACTGCACCTTGTGGGCTGCGGCACTATCCTTGGTTGATCGGTGTACAGGTACGACGTGCTACCTACTGTCGGTTCTGCCGTAAGTGGAATCACGGTGCGATGGTAAAGACTCGTCATTCTGGCTGTCATTGTCGGTTGGTCACGGACCCTTGACTGGCAATCGTGCATGGTTCGGGATATCAGCGGGGCACATACATGTGCTTATAATCTAGGACGGTAAGACGGGGCGACATGTGCGGGTGTCAGGGAGTGTCTGAACTAGTCGGACGGGTAAAGAGATGAAAAAAATTCGTGGACATGTTTCTTGGCAGTGAGCGCTCCACTGCCTCACCCGCTGTTCGGAGAAGGACATGTAGATGGACATTGATGGAGATGAGGCAGCTACTTCAAGTCTTCAACAGAATGATTCACATCATCTACTGCAGGGTAGATTGACGGTTCTCGGAGTAATTCGTCGAACGGGTCTCGGTCATGGTGGGCACGATGCTAACTAACACCCTGACGAGACTAGGTTGAGTAATAGCATACGTCGAGAGTCCAGAATCGAGGTAGAGGTGGCAAAATGACTTGGGTCGAAAGCAAGGTGATGCTTCCAATAACAAAAAAAAAAAAGCCATTGCAGTGAGCGGGGAGAGAGGGCACCGTCATCATCGACAAGCAGGACCATGGACAAGCGGGTACTGATGTAATCACGCAAAAAATAAGAGTAATACGAGTACGCGGAGTCGTCAAAATCGACCTTGTGGCTTATGACGGATGACGGTGGTTGAGTGGCGGCTTGTTCGAATACATGTACTGGCAGGGATACAGGCTCAACAGAGTGCGAAGTATTACTCCATAATACGGAGAAATACCGTATCAGTACTGTGGTAATGATACGTACGAGCAATATAATATATACTCGCATATACTCGTATAGATGCAATACCTCTAATCTGTATAGGCTATATCAGCTGTAATACTCGTAGCCTGCAGGTGAAGCCACCCTCTTCAGCACCTGTAACGATGCGGTAACTACGGATTAGTGCCATGGCTTTTTCGAATGCAGTCTTCTTCGCCTGACAGCTATCAGTAGGGACGGGGAGTATTCTATAGTACAATCATTGAAACCACGGGCGACAGAGTGTGGTCGAGCACGGACACCGAGAAGAGTCACGGTCAGATAGGACACAGTGATAGACTACAGCTGATCTTTTGAGGCTCCACGGTTGGCGCCATGCGCAATTCGGATCCATTGCATGACTTGGAGCCCACTAATGAATCGCCATTGACGAGATGAAATTATTACCATCAAGGGGGCTACAGTGATCATTCAAGGACATCAGTCACCCTTTTTTTGCCCTCTCATTATCCCTTTATCGTCACCGTCACCGTCACCGTCACCGTCATCGTCATCGTCTTCTTGACTTTCTTCTTCTTCTTCGATCCCGTTATTTTTATTCTTATTCTTGGTCTTAAAATATTTACCTTTTTACCTCGTCTGCCCCTCCCCAGCCATCCTATCCTATTACCGAATGCTCATATCGCATCACACTCTCTGGCATTTACTACTACCCTGCAGCGCCAAGGCGACACTTCATTTTAGCTTGGCCTGTGTCCCACTAACCCGCCCACTTCCCCCGTTAAGATTCAACTTTTCTGCAACTCTCTCTCTCTCTCATCCCCCTTCTTCTCCCTCCTTGGATATCCCCCTCCATCTCCCTGTCCATCTCTCATCACGAAACACACACGACGAGACCTCCAGACGTTATACGAAGGACAGACGACCATCCATTCCTCCCGCGTGAGCACCTACGACCTCGCTGCTCTGTTCGCGGCCTCCCCCCATTCCGTTTACGATCGATCCCCCCCCCCTTTGCGACCAGCGCCAAGACAAAAAAAATAAAGATCTGGCCGCTCCTGGTTTAACCTCTGCCGTCGATCAATCACGGAAACGTTTACGCCCATCGCCATCCTCTCTACCTCACCCACATAGGCGATTGTACCGAATCTCTGACAGAGAGGAAGAAAAGGGGAAAGAAACAAAACACACAAAACAACATAAACGCATAAACGACGTGTAAGGAATTCAAGTGGTGCCGGCCGCCGCTACCCGCGAGCGACCAGCCCTTGATCACCCGCCGGCACGCTGGCCTCCGCCGTAGACGACGAGGCCGGCTCCTCGAGCTCCTACAGGGAAAGGCCGCCTCGCTCCCACCACCGGAGACGCTCCTCGACTGGACACACGCTCGCCGAGCAGCGATCCGGCCACCACCTTACTCTCGACCAGCTGCACTCCCGCCCGGCCATTCCCTCGAATCGGCCGGCTCTCTCTCCGATACCAGGTACGTAACCTCGCATTCCCGTCCTCCCCGTGACTGGACAGATGAGAATCTCTCGCGTACATGCACATCTATATGAGATGGAAGGGCAGATGCCGGCTAACATCCCATCACAGCAACCCCCGTCGCCGAAATGTCCTTATCGCGAAGCCCCTCCCCCATCCCGGGCGGAGGATGGTCGAGTCCGGGCCTCAACATGAACAGCGGCCGCTCCAGCCCAGCCCACATCCCTCCAAGCGCAGGAAGCAACGCCGGCGCCTCCGGCCCCTGGGGCTCGGCCAGTCGGATGAGGAGCAACCATAACCTCAATGGCTACCCGTCCTTCTCGACCCAGAACTCGGGATTCTTTGTCCGAAACATGCGTCGCATAACCAGCAGCCTACCGCGATTTTACCCGTCAGACAACAGCAACAATGCATACGGCTACAAGGACAAGGCCGCACGGGGAGGAGGCTGGGCGCCCAGAAATGCGTCGTTTGGCGAGCGCATCTCGTCCATCTTTGGCAGGATGGGGAGGAAGTCAAAGGGGAGGTTGCTCGCTGCTGCCACTGTCCTCTTGCTCCTCCTTATTCTATATAATACTCGTGAGTCTACACACACGCACACACACGCACACACACGCACTGTCCCCCCTCCTACTCGGTCGCATCGGAGCAAGCGGTTCTTCGACTGACAAGACAGCACAGCGCTTCTATATTGGTGGAGACGCTCATCGTGGGGTGGCGGCGGAGAGAAGTTTGTCATCATCCTCGGAGCCAACCTGGGCGGTGGCGTCATGGAGTGGAAGGGTGCGCGTGAGTGGGCGGTAGAGCGAGATAGCGTGCGCAACAAGCGCAAGTATTCGAACCGATGGGGCTACAACCTGGAGATTGTCGACATGAGTATCAAGAAGCGGTATGCGCACGAGTGGCGCGAGAGTTGGGAAAAGGTTGACTTTATGAGGTCTGCCATGCGGAAATATCCCGACGCTGAGTGGTGAGTTGTCTTCTCTTTGTCTTGACCGGAAGGAAGAGAGCGAGAGAGAGCGGGAGAGAGCGAGAGAAGGAGAGAGAGAGAGGGGGGGGGGGAGGGGGAGAATATGGCCGAAAGAAATATGCAAGAGGATGGAAGATCGATCGCTAATACTCCCGAGGTCAACAGGTTCTGGTGGCTCGATCTCAACACATACATCATGGAGCTGTCGTACCCTCTGCAGGAGCACATCTTCACCGACCTGGAGGACAAGGTGTACCGCGACATCAACGAGTGGAACCCTCTGAACATCACGCACCCGCCGACGGAACCGTACCTGGACGCCGAGGCGCTGTCGGCGGTGGGCGACGGCAAGGCCAACTCGCTCAACCTCCTCCTGTCGCAGGACTGCGCGGGCTTCAACCTGGGGTCGTTCATGATGCGGCGGAGCGCGTGGACGGAGCGGCTGCTGGACATGTGGTGGGACCCGGTCATGTACGAGCAGAAGCACATGGACTGGGACCACAAGGAGCAGGACGCGCTGGAAGAGATGTACGAATCGCACCCGTGGGTGCGGCAGCACACCGGCTTCCTCCCGCAGAGGACCATCAACTCGTTCCCGCCGGGGGCCTGCGTGGAGCTCGACGATGCGGGCGTCCAGCAGAACAACAGCCGGTTCCACTACAACGAAGACGACCACGACTTCCTCGTCAACATGGCCGGGTGCGAATGGGGAAGGGACTGCTGGGGCGAAATGTACCACTACCGCGAGTTTGGGTACTGGCTGAACAGGAACCCGTGGGAGAGGTTCAAGGAGGACTTTGTCGCGGTGATCTGGCATAAACTCACCGGTCAATGGGTGAAGCTGTAGAGTCTGTCCTATGATGACTGTCCTGTGACCGGCTTCACCTCTCCCTCCCCCCTTCCCGCCCCATCTCTTTACCCTCTTTCGAACTCCTCTCTCGCTTCTTGTCCTAACCCCTTTTCCACACCCTGCCCCCCTTTCATCTTACCTATTCCCTATAGGTTCAGGACAAGACTTCTTCTGGTAGCGCTTCTCCTTCCTCCCCCCCCCCCTTTTTCTCTTCTCCCGGTCAACCCTCAAATTTCTCTTTCCATCTTCAAGGGGGAGAACATCTAAACCATCTTAATTCATGTCAGCAAAAGAAAAAAAAAAGAAAAAAAAAAAAAAGGAAGGTGGGGGGAGGGGGTACTTTTTTATTATTACATAGACGTTTATTACTACTATAACGAGAATTATTACTACTATAACGAGAAGAAAAAGAACTCCTGGTCTGGAGCATTTGTGTTTGGTCTGGTCTTCCCTCTCCATCCACACACCCGTCATGTTCTAATACATGCCATATGTCCTTTTTAGGAAAACAACCCCCCCCCCTTCCATCTGACCTTATTTCTCGCTTTCACTTGGGCTGATTTCGAGGGTGTTGTGAAACGTGTGACGCGGACCACAATTACGGGCGGCGCGAGTCAAGACGATGAAGGAGACGTACTGGTAATTTAACGTGTGTGCCAATGATATTTTCATACTCGTCAAGAATGAGAAGGGTCCTTGCGGATGGATCCACGATGAGCGTCGCCTCTCTCCGCCCCTAACGTTTTTGAGCAGGTGAAGAACGAGAGAGAAGAGTCTCCGAAGTCTGGTAATGTATCGTTCCCGATGTGCCGGGGAAATTGCCATTCTGGAAAATCGTGACGGGGGGAAGGCAAGGCAGGTTCTGTCTGATGATGATGATGGTGGTGGTCGGTGGGGGAGGGGATGATGATCTGGTTGGTCCAATGCTCTGTATTGCATAAATGTCGGGTAGATTTGACATGTGTCATGTCGAGTCAGCGCTGAAGTGATCTCTACTGAGTAGATGGTGGTGTATTAATCTCTCTCTCAAGATGACATGGAGAGGATAAAAGAAAAAGGAAGAAGAAAGTACCAGGTCAATGTATCGATACAGAACGGTAAATGAAACGAAAAAAAAGCAAAAAAAAAAAAAAAACAATG